TTTTGTAATATTCATTTTAGAGTGACATAGCACAAACTTCTAGGTACAAATGTAAGCTTAAAACAGGAAAAGTAAAAGTTCTACAGGTTTTTACATTAGTAAGTTAACTAACAAATTACAATTATTTTTATTTGGTCAAAGTAAACATTGAATATCACCATTGCAAGGGTAACAAGGATTTTTTGAACAAACACTTTTGCCAACTGATTTCAAAATTTTTCTATTTTTAGCTCCTGTGACCTAGCTTTTGACCGGATATGACCTATCTTCAAACTTGACCTAGAATTCATCAAAACAACCTTCCTGACAAAATTTCCAGAATATTTTAATCAAAACTGCAGCCACTACAGTGTTTACAAGCTTTTTCTTTTTTTAGCTCCTGTGACCTAGTTTTTGACCGGAGATAACCCATCTTGGAACTTGACCTAGAAATTATCAAAACAACCTTCCTGACAAATTTCCAGAATAATAGGATCAAAACTGCAGCCACTAGAGTGTTAACAAACTTTTTCTATTTTTAGCTCCTGTGACCTAGCTTTTGACCGGATATGACCCATCTTGGAACCTGACCTAGAAATCATCAAAACAACCTTCCTGACAAATTTCCAGAATATATGGATCAAAACTGCAGCCAGTAGAGTGTTAACAAGCTTTTTCTATTTTTAGCTCCTGTGACCTAGTTTTTGACCGGAGATGACCCATCTTCGATCTCGATCTGTATTTCATTTAGACAAACATTCTGACAAAGTTTGACAATGATCCAATCAAAACTGTGACTGTTAACAACCCAATTGTTGACGACGAGCGACGACGGACATAGCCCCATCACTTTACCTCACCTTGACCACTTCGTGGTCAGGTGAGCTAAAAACATGCAAATCATGTCAAGGATCTGCTTTTAATTTTTTTTTCTGTTAAGACGCATTTATTATGCTACGTGACTCATTGATTTTGCTACAGGACTCATTGTTTTCAAACATGTGGGTCGTCCGACGCGTTGTAAGGAATTTCTAGATTAATCACTGTGAGCCTGACAAGGTTTTATCAAACTCATGCCAGCACGCACACAGGCATCAATATAGGAAACAAATAGAACTTCATTTGCATCTCATTCGATACCAAACATTTAAAATTAAAGAAATATGTGATGTGTTTGAGGGTTTGTAACTATTTTTGCCTGGGTAGTCCAACTAGTTGTACTACGCAATGACCTTACTATGCGAAGAGATATTGTGCTATTTTGTGTATGGGCAAAATCTCGCCTCTAGAAGCGAGATTCTGACCCAGATCAAAAATATGTCAGAATCTAGCTATGGCATGTCAAAATAGTTAGACTACCTGTTATCATGACAGCAAAAATGAATACCAAGTTTAAAGTCAAAAGGTTCATTAAGTTAATAGCTTCTGAGAAAACTGACATTTATAACCCTTAACAACAAGAGCTGTCGGTAGGACAGCAACGCTCGATTATTCTTAGTGCTTGATAGTTAAACAAGAGGGCCATGATGGCCCCCTGAGGGTCGCTCACCTGTATATAGGCCCCCCAAACCCCCACCCCCCCCCACCCCCAACGTTGCAGGGCCAATTTAACCCAAGGGCTTTTAATTTGCACAAACTTGGTAGACACCCATAAGAAGATGTTTCATGCTAAACATGTAAGCTCTAGCTCATTGGGCTTTTTAAAAGAAGAATTTTTTTAAGCTTTTACTATACACATAATATTATAGTTAAAAACAATGACATTCCTGTGGCCGGGCCAGTTTTGACCCCAGGGCTTTTATTTGAACAATCTTTGTAGACACTTACTAGAAGATGTTTTATGCTTAATATCTAAACTCTAGCTATTTGGGTTTTTTCAAAGAAGATTTTAAGTTTTTGCTATACATATATAAAGAAAATCAATGACCCCCGGGGCGGGGCCAATTTTGACCCCAGGTCTTTTATTTGAACAAACTTTGTAGACACTCACTAAAAGATGTTTCATGCTTAATATCTTAACTCTAGCTATTTGGGTTTTTTCAAAGAAGATTTTTTAAGTTTTTGCTATACACATATAAGGAAAATCAATGACCCCCGGGGTGGGGCCCATTTTGACCCCAGGGCTTTTATTTGAACAAACTTGGTAGTCACTTATTAGAACATGTTTCATGCTAAATATCTTAGCTCTAACTCTTTTGGTTCTTTAAAAGAAGATTTTTTAAGTTTTTACTATATGCATATAGGGAAAATCAATGACCCCCTGGGGCGGGGCGAATTTTGACCTCAGGGCTTCTATTTGAACAAACTTGGTAGACACCCATTAGAACATGTTTCATGCTAAATATCTTAGCTCTAGCTCTTTGGGTTCTTTAAAAGAAGATTTTTTAAGTTTTTACTGTATGCATATAGGGAAAATCAATGACCCCCCGGGGCGGGGCCAATTTTGACCCCAGGGCTTTTATTTGAACAAACTTGGTAGACACTCACTAGAAGATGTTTCATGCAAATATCTAAGCTCTAGCTCTTATGGTTTTTAAAAAAGAAGATATTTAAAAGTTTTTTTTTCTTTCGGTTGCCATGGCAACCAGAGTTCTGCATGGAATTAAATTCTTTGAACAATTTTTAAAGGTGACCACCAAAGGAACATTCCTGTGAAGTTTGGATGAAATTGGCTTAGTGGTTTATGAGGAGATGTCATTTGAAGTAAAAGTTTACGGACGGACGGACGGCCGGACGCCGGACGAAAAGTGATCACAAAAGCTCACCCTGTCACTTTGTGACAGGTGAGCTAAAAAGCCTAGATAATGTAAAATTTTCTAAGTTAACAAAAGGGCAATTTTTTCTTTAAATCCATGTTACAGTAATAAGCCTTGAAGAGAGTCCTATTATGCTCTCAAAGAAGAGTATAAAATTTCAACTTGTTTCAAAGCCAGAATGTCAATAGAATATGAAAATATCTGAGGTGGTAATGCAAACTTGAATGTAAATTCTAAGTGGAAAAAGGGGCATTATTCTGCCATATGCTTGATACAGTTACCTCCTCCTGTCTACAGGTTGGGGTCGTGATGGTGAACAAGTGTGCAAAGTTTCAAAGCCATATGTCAATGGACTTTGAAAATATTTGAGGTATTACAAAAACTTTAACGTAAATTCTAAGTCGAAAAAGGGGCATAATTCTGTCAAAATGCTTGATACAGTTATCTCCTCCTGTCCACAGGTTGGGGTCATGATGGTGAACAAATGTGCAAAGTTTCAAAGCCATATGTCAATGGACTTTGAAAATATTTGAGGTATTACAAAAACTTTAACGTAAATTCTAAGTCGAAAAAGGGGCATAATTCTGTCAAAATGCTTGATACAGTTATCTCCTCCTGTCCACAGGTTGGGGTCATGATGGTAAACAAATGTGCAAAGTTTCAAAGCCATATGTCAATGGACTTTGAAAATATTTGAGGTATTACAAAAACTTTAAAGTAAATTCTTAGTCGAAAAAGGGGCATAATTCTGTCAAAAAGCTTGATACAGTTACCTCCTCCTGTCTACAGGTTGGAATCATGATGGTGAACAAGTGTGCAAAGTTTCAAAGCCATATGTCAATGGACTTTGAAAATATTTGAGGTATTACAAAAACTAATATAAAGTAAATTCTTAGTCGAAAAAGGGGCATAATTCTGTCAAAAAGCTTGATACAGTTACCTCCTCCTGTCTACAGGTTCGGATCATGATGGTGAACAAGTGTGCAAAGTTTCAAAGCCATATGCCAATGGACTTTGAAAATATTTGAGGTATTACAAAAACTTTAACATAAGTGGTTACGACAATGCCGACGCTCGGGTGACTACAATAGCTATACTTATTCTTATCGAATAGTCGAGCTAAAAAGGTTAACCAGCGCCAACGGCCCACATGATTAAATCGATTAGATCTTAACACAGCAGATACAGGTTAACTACAAACTATTTTTTGCTTTCTTGAGCCAGTATTTATAAGTTTATTGAGTTTTCTTAAATATTTGTAGATATTTTCTTTTTATGCAATCAATTTATTAAATTTTTAATTTACACAGCAATTTTTCAGGGATCCCAAAGGAATTCCCATTTAGTGATCACTGGGATTCCTCCAGATTTTTAGGATACTTGGAATCCTGGGACCCCATTTATTACTGTCAAAACCTTGAGTTTTGATGTTCACTAATATTGACAAGTTGACTGAAATGGTAACGAGTTTACCAAGTTGGCTAAAAGACAATTTGACTTTAAATAACAGCTTGGATACACAACCTTAGTACATGATTCATATTCAACTAGACTCAGCACAGAGCAGTTCATAGCCTGCATTGAACATATCTCATCCTAGTTTTCCAGCCCCTGTTTTTTAACATTTTAATATTTTTTTATCCTCTTTTATTAACAACTCTTTTTAACTTTCTTGCGATTTTTGTTGCGCAGACATGTCTATATCCCCGCGATTGACATTAACAGAAGATAGATAGAACATCAGAAAACAGAACAGTTCCATACACCATGAATGATGATACGGCTTGCTTCTTTCAGGAAAATTTAGAAATCTTCCAAAAAGTTTAATTTATATCTTCTTTATTCTATCTGGAAAAAGACTGCATATAGAATAAAACTTAAGTTTCATGTCAATAGTTTCAAGAAGAAACATTGATGAATTATTTTATAATTTAATCAAAAACTAACCTGAAAAAAGGTACGAATTATTAAGGGTACGAATGACGCCTTGAAAAATTTAATGACGGCTGACCTGTAATGAATGACAATGAATGATTATCATTTGTTGTCCTAATTAATGCATATTTATTTTGTGAAAATTATGATTATAATCCGTCTCATTGTCATACCTTATATACTTAAATCATTCGTTTTTCTTGAAATGTACCAAATGGTTTTGTGCTTTTTCCAAACTCTGCAATCGCGTTTACCAATCAAATAACTCGACATAAGATGTAGGCATCCAATGAAATACACAGTAACAAATAAAAGTAGGCCAGGCGCTTTTGTTTCTTGAGCGTTTACTTGATAAAGATTTGCTCTTCTAAAAGGAGAATTTTGACAGCTGAAAAAATAAACAAGTTTGACTTGTATAGATCTTTAAACTAAAGATGACAGACAAAATATCAGTTGCCCTCACATGGTTTGCAAATTACACCAACTTCTATTCGGTCGTGAGCGTCCTATTATGCTTTTTTGTTATGGTTATTTTCATTTTGAGGTGAGTATTTTGAGGCTGATACATATCCTGTTTTCTAGCAGTCTAGTATTATAAGATTATTGTGGGGCAAGGATGAGAAGATAACTTCAGATAACATTTTGTTACTGTTAATTTTCTACAGGGCTTACTTATGTTACAGGGTGAGAAAAATGTGCAGCCTGAACGAGACTTAAACAATTAAATCCAGAGCCCTCAGAATACCTTAACCCGGCTCTACCGACTGAGCTATTTTGCCGCTTACACACCATCTCCCCTAAATAGTGGATAGTTCTGAACCATGACCTACTCCCCTGCTATATTGAAATTTGTCCTCAAATATCACAGAGTTACAGAGCAATGTAAATTAAACTCTGAGCTATATTTAGTCACAGTCCCACGTTGGGCGCAGACTTGCCGAAAATTAAAAAAAAGTGTCAGACATTCGGTCTGGCAAACCATGAAAATCTGTCAAACTGAAATGAAATCTGTCCCAATAAAATAAATCAAATCAAAGGTAAACTTGTGTTTGTATTTCTAAGACACTTTTCAGTCTTAATTTTTCGCCGTAAAAATCGGCACAGTTCGTACAGCGCATTTTAATCTCCCCCTGTCATACACCAACAATTCACGGTCATGCTTCCATTTTTCATTAAATTTTGTCTCAGGTCTATTCTTTACATCCTTTTACTGCTGTTCTGCGCGCTCCTCTAAAGTAGATTTTTGTTTTTTCCCAGGATTGGCACCTTTAGCGACGCCTTTTTATGTACATGCGACTTGTATAAAAGCCGGACAGGAAGACCAATCCAGAATAAAAAATCGTCAGACATAATCAAAATTTATCGGACATGTCCATCGGACCGACGTATTTCTGGAAGTCTGTGGGCGCCAAATGTCACAGGCTGAGAAAAATGTGCATTCTGACCGGGACTCAAACCAGGACCCTCGGAATAGTGTACTGCGCCAACTCAGCGATCTGGTCGCTTACACACCATCTCCCCTAATCCCCTAAATAGTGAACAGTTCTGAACTGTGACACATGCAAGTAGTTGCTGTACAAAAGCAGTATCCTAATTTTTTTGTATAAATGCTTGATTTTTACTTGCATTATTTAAACATTGGTATTTATGGTGTCCAATAAGAATTGGTTACCTCAGCTAAATACATAGGCTTGTATATATCAGAAAACCTTTCATCATACATTGGGATGACCACATAAACAGCTTGAATAGGGTTCCAATGTATGGTCTACCCACATCATACACTATGTCCAAAGAAGAGCACCCTGATGGACCAAGCCAGATTATGGTCAGACCTCTAACGCCACAGACAGTCACATGCTTCGAAAATAGTAACTGGAACTCAGACATATAAATGCTAGGTTATCCCTTTTCTAAAAGATTCACCATGGTCTGGTTGCTATCCCCATAGAAGAATATATGACACCCCTTACCCAAACATCACTTCATGGCCTACCCCTGTGTTATAGGTTATTCATAGCAACTTCAGACTGTTATAAATTCTCCTTCTATCCTAGGACTGATACCTTTGGAACCATCTACCCTCTGCAGTTGCCCTACTCCCGGTATCCGGGCATTTGCCCCCTGGACAGTTGTCCCTTCCCCCCCCCTCCACGCCCGCCCAGGCATTTCAAAGGTTTGCCCACTTTTTTTTGCAATTTTTAAGTCAAAGGACTAGTCCCTGGAACTAGCTGACTTATATGAACTTTTGGTCTGTGGCCAAGTGGTAAAGGTCTTTGACATCAAACCACTTGCCTCTCAGTGCTATGAGTTTGAATCCTGCCAGGAACTTTAGATTCTTTCATCTGAGGAAGCTGTCCAGCTTGCTAATGGAACATTTATGGTCCTACTCAGATGCCTTTTTATGCCTGAAATAATGTTTGATTGGGCACCTGAGGTCATTCTCCACTAGTAAAGCAGGGAAGTAGCCACACTTTACTTTCTTGGTGTGACTTCATATGTTAATTCAAAACAGACAAAATATGTTGTGTAAACTTTGTCAAAGAAATATACTGTTGGTATGTTAGGTGCATCTTGCTAATTCTGTTATAAATAGGATTGATAGATTAAACTTTGGTTCGTCACATTGGTAGATCCAGATCATATTAATTTTGCCCTGTCATTTTGTATCATTTTATTTTAGATTAAACAGTGAACATTTTATGTCAACTTCTGCAACTCACTATCCAATTGTAAAAGAACAGTCTATGGTCAGTCTACTCAATCCTTTTTGTATTCAGCTGGATAGCACAAAATCTAGCTCTTTAAAAGGTACTGTCTTTTCTTTATACACTTTATTTATACATGAATGTAACTTAATCAATCAGTTAAAAATGCTATGGTAGTGTCATGTATTATTGATTTCTTTTTTATTTTCTTTATTTTTCAATTTCATTAATCATAATTTGTCAATAATGTATGAAAAGTAAAGATGAATGAAATATGATTCATTGATTATTAGCATTTTGGGAAGTTACTTTGGACTTGAGATTAAGTTCATAATTGAGCCGAGTCATGACAAAACCAACATAGTGGATCTGCGACCAGCATGGATCCAGACCAGCCTGCGCATCCCCAGGATCCATGCTGTTCGCTATCAGTTTCTCTACTTGTTATAGGGTTTGTAAGCGAACAGCATGGATCCTGATCAGACTGCGCGGATGCGCAGGCTGGTCTGGATCCATGCTGGTCGCAAACCCATTATGTTGGTTTTGTCATGACGCGGCTCATATAGTTTCTTAATAAGTGATGCTCAGAAAATGCATATAATGTTACTTGTCTATATTGAAAATTGTTTTGCAGGTGGGTTATTTCTATGTTTGTCAATGAAGAAATCATCTACAATAAAAGTGTTATGGGGAGTTGACATTCAGACATTTCAGAAAGAATTACAGTTAGCTTCAACAGAAATAGCTGAGAGATTTGTCAACAACCAGATGTTTGAAGGCAGCTTTAAACATGCAGTAGACTGTGGAATGTATCCTTCAACTTTAACTGATAAAGAAAGAAAACCTCTATAACAAAATAAACATTAGTCAACTTTCACAACATACTTTTCATATCTTTGCATTTGTTTGTTGCATATGTGCAACAAACCTGTGAGTTTAAGCTTTTGGAAAAAATCACTTAATTGATTTAGTTGAAGACCTGGCAAAGACATCGCTTGTGATTTGTTTGAAGACATTATACATATAACATATTATTAATTATATAGCCTAATGCTAGCTATGTCTAAATATAGCTATTTCATATTTGAAATGACTATGTATTCTTTTCTTTGGTTGTATCATTTGTAAGATAGGTACAATTACTGGATCTCCTTTGAATAGTCTTTGAGGTAAATTAAAATAACAGAACAAATAGTATTTTTGAAAAAGTATATTCTGGGTACTCTGATGCACCATATAACATTGAAATCTAAAGTTTCTTATTCTGATATTACAACTATCATTTCTTTTTACATCATATTTTCCATGTTCACTATCAGAAAAAAAATTGTTCTGTAAATTTGTTTAATTGGTACTAAGATTAGCAAAATCAAACAAACAAATGTAACAGACAAGTTCAGTATTGTTACATGTTGAGGAATATTGTATACTTCTACATAAAATAATGGATCATATTCCTGAGAATTTATCCTTAATGGATTGTTAGACTCAATGAAGATGATGGTACTAGAGAAATATGTTTCAAGTGTCCATGTGAACTGAGTGAAGAGGTGTTAGGGGAGCCCCCTAGAACATTGTATCCTGTTGTTGTTGTTTCTAAGCTGGTAGATTGTGACACTTTGCCAGATTCTACAGTTATAGTAAGTTGAATGAATTAACCATGAAGTTTAGTCCATGAAATTAACAGTTTGTTAGAAATTTAACGGGACGTCCATGGCTGAGTGATTAAGATTGTTGATGTTGACTTCAAAGCACTTGTCTCTCATTGCTGTAGGTTTGAGCTGTGCAACTGTTTTTGGATTCTTTCATGTGAGAAAGCTATGCAGCTACCTTACGGAACGTTGTTGGTTCTACTCTGGTGCCTGTTTGTGCCTGAAATATAGGGCCACCTGAGGCCTTCCTCCACCAGTAAGCTGGAAAGTTGATTTGCTATATAAAACCCAATAATGATATACATTTGTATAAGTCAGAAATTTAAGAAGGCCATTTCAGCAGTATAAGAGTTAAATACTATAAGATATTCAAATAAATAATATATAATGTTGTTTTATTTATCCAGGTAGTACAGTTTACAGTGATACATTTAAAGGATTCTATATGCAGTCTTGACTCACACATTGTTTATCAATTTGTGAAGACAAATAGAAACAAACTTCTAGGATTACAGGTAAATTCAGTTATATTTTACATAATGTTAATTCACAAACTACATGTATATAGTTTAGAGAGGAACAAATTTTAGATCTATTATTATGAGGTAAATGAAGTGGTCAGCAGTAAAATATAAGGAGCATAATTATATTTATATAGCTCTACTTCATCCTTCTATTGTTCTGTCTACCATGTTTGCTTACAGTATTTATGTAACTTTAATATATTTTCAGTATTACAGATACATTTTTTTTTTTAAATATATGGAAAAAAATATATTCTTCATTTTTCTTTTCTAGCCAATATTTGTTTCAACATCAGAACCAGTGACATCAACTAGTGGGCAAAGTAGGTCAAATAATACCAACAATTCTTCTGATGTCAATTTATCTAGTCAAAATAATGAAAGGTCAAAGGTTACTGCTGACAGTGAAGTTCACAAAAGGTCAGAGACATCGAGAGAAGTACAGCATTGTTCCAGTTGTGGGAAAATTAGAAAAACTGTTGAAAATATTCCATCGACAAGAGTACATGAGGTATGTGACTGTACAGAGGATGACCTTGATTATTGTGAAGGTGAAAGGTCAGATGTCAAGGTCACTGGACAAGAAGATGTCTTGGATGATAAGAATATTGAGGAAAATGAGAAAATAAATGAAGATACAAATGATAATACAGCATCTTCTGAAAGAAATTCTAATCATGTACAGGATACAGCACCAGTTGCCGAAGAGTTGGAGTCATGCTGTGTATGCCAAAGTTCGGAAATATTTTACACCTTGTTGCCATGCCGACATGCCTGTGTGTGTAGTAATTGCATAAGACTGTTAGATAAGTGTCCAATATGCCGGAGCTTTATTGAGGCATACTTTAGGCTACATAACAGGCTTGTTGAGCAAGAGTTGAGGGAAAGTATGGAGAACAATGCTGGACCGAGGTTAAATAGATGGCAAGCTTTTAACCAGAGATTGAATGAAATGTTAGGATTTGTTTAATTTATTGTTTTTATTTTTTTTCATACCTTTTGTTGTTGTTTCTTGTTTTAAATAGTTTTAGTAGATTATTGTCTGTTATTTTTAACATTATGGGTAAAAGTAAGATAACTTACTAAATGTATACAATGTTTTAATAATGTCTTATAATTTTGCCTCAAGTCTCTAGCAGTTTTATGTAACTCTGTATAAGCTTAATAGTTGCTCAAATTAATGTATGCTTACAGAAAAAAGCTAATTCATATACATGGTAGCTAATTACATAACAAAGGAATTATGGGATTCTGTTTGTCTTTTTGTACCTGACATGTTTTTTGGATAAAGTTCATGACTGTGTAACCCAAACATTGGGTGATATCTTACTGTATATAACTGTAATAATGCCAGCTGCCATGATAACTTGCATATATATCTCTTTGCCATAAGATACGTTGGATTGATTTTATTTTTACTTTGATTAATTTTTGAATTGTACATTTCATGGAAAAATTACTTGCTTATTATAACAACTTGAAAGGGATTATGTTAAATACTTTGTGTAGAATACAATATTAAAATTTGTGACATCAATGTAAAATTAAATATCAACTTTGTGTTACATTGGGATTAATTTTTGCTGAGTGTTAAAAGATTTTAACTTTAACCAGAACTATTGATAAGTGTTATAATATTTATCCTTTCATTTATTTATGTTTATCCTGAATTTATCATTGATATATGCCACTTATAGAATGTTATTTATTATTTTATTAGAATTTTATTTGTTGTTATGTTTAGCTGTTGTTTTATTAATCAAGGACACCATGTTTATGTAGAACAATGCTCAAGTTTTGTTTTTAGTTTGATTATTCAAAAGGGATGGCTATTCGCCCCTGCGTTGGCATCACACTTTGGTTAATTTGCATGCAAAATTGTATCTCCAAAACTCATGAAGGGAATAAATTAAACTTCATGCACTTATTTGAGAGCATAATAGGAGGTCACTAAGACCCATGAGTTAACTCTTACATGGATTTTGATAGAATTATGACCCTTTTTGAACTGAGAAAAGTTCTGTGTTATCCATACTCTTATTTTACTATCAAGCAATGAGAAAAGTTGAGTGCACTGTACTACTGACAGCTCTTGTTTCTTAAACAATTTTTATGATTTGTAGCAAGGCAAATGTGTCAGCTTGTAAACATATTTTTAGCAATATTAGATAAAGGAATTGTTTTATTACATTACATGGAGAAATATAATGTATTGCTTGAAGTATTTGTTATTTGCAGTCATGATCCTTCTGTATAGATTTTAAAAAGATTTTATATTATATATTTAAAGCACAAATTAAGAAAAGATTTTCATGCCAACTTGACAAAATAAAAGGCAGTATGATGAAAAATACCAATAGATGTTATCTGGAGATTGGAAAGTGAGGCTTTTTCTAAACTTATCCCCTAGTAAAAACAAAAGTTTTTGGCTTCACAGTGCAGTGTGCACAGATAAGTCAACATGTTGCGCCAAATTTCGAAGTTGTAACTATACCTGTTTGTACCACAGGACTTACTTGGAAAACCCAAAATATTCTTAATTCTAGAGTAAATCTATTGACTTTTTTATGTACTTATTAACAAAATATTGAGAAATATTGATGAAATAAAATATGTTTTTTCAATTTTTGTATTTTCACTGTAAAAATTTATTTTCACTGCAGTGAAACATATTTTCTGTATTTTTCACTGGTGTCTTGCAGGACTACTTTCTTCCTAATTTAGCCAAAAAGGAGAGGTCTTAAAAATTGTTATGTCAAAAAATGACAGAAAATTCAAGTTTTTTCTATAACCCCAGGATCCATTTTCATCATTATCATATTTCATTTGAGGCTACCGCCATTTGTGAAATATCTTTTTTTATTCTGCCCGATAAAAATAAATTTTGTACAGGTATTTATAGAGAAAGCTTGAATATCCTTTAAATACTTATTGGAATAAAACAAATAAATATTTCTGGCAAAACCAATTTGTATCAGCCACTCGCATATGTAACTTATAACAATTTTAAATGATACAATAATGTTATTTTAAAGAAAGGACATGATTTTTTGTGTTCAATTTTAGTTGCCTTGTATTTTTGCTTTTTACATAATTATAGGCATTTCTAAAAAAAAACAAAAAAAAAACAAGGTGCTTATTCCTCTTTAAAAAAATATTTGTAAACTTAATTTTTTCATTTGTTAGAATAATTTTAACTTTAAATGAATGAAATGAAATCTTATATAATTTCGAGATTGTTCAAACTACCTGTTTCAAGTTTAGTGCAAAGATTTTATTCAAGATAAGTTCAAAGATTTATTTCAAGATTAGTTCAAAGAATTATGTTGAGATTTGTTGAAAATTTTTTATTTTATTAGTTCAAAGAACTGTAATACTTCAAAATTAGTTCAAAGAGCTTTCTTCACAAACCAACTGAAATAAATATGTTTAAACATAGATGACGAATTACATCTTTTGCAAATGGCTGTTAAACATGTTAAAGATTATCTTTCTGTGTTTATGTTTCTGTGCTTGTGTTTAAAAAATGTTTTAAAATGTGTTTACTTATAAAAAATGTCAGCATTATACCGTAGCCCATATTCATCAATTATTCAAAGTTGCAAGCAGATGAGTAAACAAACTTTATAGCGGATAGTGCAGAACATGATCAGACCTCATAGATGTCTGCACTGGTCGCTAGTCAGTAAGGATATACATGTATTATGATATATTTTTTTCTAAAAATGATGAGCCTTTTTGTCCCGATTAAAAGATGGACAAGTCTTTTTAAGATAATAACATCTTGCTGGTTGATCTTGGTCTGCACTGGTTGCATGTTTATATTTAGTCGCTACTGTCAAGAGTTTAAGAAAAGTTGTAAGTAATCACAATCAAAGATATATTTGAATGTTTTATGCTATAATTATATGACTAAATTTGCCAATTTTATCACTGTTTTTCTCTTGAGTAACTGACAAAATAAGGGCTATTTAAGCATATTGGGTCATATAAAAGATAATAATTATGTGTCATAAAGCTACTTTGAAACACTTTATTTGTTCCACTGACACAATATGATGTTTTTTTCTGTTTTTGTATTTAATTTACAGTTAAAATTTAGTTTAAAATTCAGACATGGAATTTTGATGAAAAATTGAAGTTAAAATTTAGTTTAAAATTCAGACATGGAATTTTAATGAAATTTGAAGATAAAATTTAGTTTAAAAATTCAGACATGGAATTTTGATGAAAAATTGCAGTTAAAATTTAGTTTAAAATTCAGACATGGAATTTTGATGAAATTTGAAGTTAAAATTTAGTTTAAAATTCAGACTTGGAATTTTGATGAATATGGGCGTATATTAATACTGGTAATGAATAAACGAGCAGCATTTATTAGCTTCATATTTACTTAATAAAATACGGAAAATACATGTATGCTTTGTATTACTTTTAACACTTGTATAATAACTGGTCTAGACCTATCAGCAAATAAGTGCAATCAAATCAGATTCTATACTGTTGGTAACTTAGCTGTAGTATTTTAATTGAGTTCCCTGAATCTAGCAGTAGACTGTTCCAATTTCATAGGAGGAATAGTTCATTATACAAATTTAGAGGGTGAAAAGTCAACAAAACTGAATATCACAATATTTACGACTATATACGTACAATTTCTATACACTCTTTCTGTGAATAGCAATGACATTGATATGGTGAGTCATAGTGTCTAATTATTATAACATCTGTTATAACCCATTAATTAACTAGATCCACAGCAGTACTTGGGAGTTTGAGTTTTGGTCTTTCAGTGCTAAAACTCGGATCTCAACAGTTTCATCATTAGTTCACATCCTGTGTTGAGTTCTGACCAATCAAATACCCAAGATCTGAGTTTGAGCAAGTCTTACTAACCTTGGACTCTGGGCACTGTATATGTGCTTCATTCTTTACTACCAATTCAGGTGATTCACAGAAATAAGTGTTGGCAGTAACTGCTAGTATAACAAGGTATAACTGCTATAAAATGCAGGAACGAAGATAAAAGATGCTGGTTTAAGGGTGAAAGGGGAAGCGGGGTTGTTGGGTCAGACTGACCCATTTAAGGTTAATGGCAACTTTCCAGCTAAAGTTGGTGGAGATAGATCTTGGGGTGCCCCTTCCTGCATTATTTTAGGACTGAGCATGCACGCAAGTAGATTAGAATAATCAACCTGCAAGGCTACGCTGGATAGCTTCTTTAAATGGAAAATACAAACTCCTGAGGGGCCAGTGATTTTCTTGTCTCCAATTTTAGGTCCATTCATACACATTGGCAGTAAAAGTCTGCTTCTTTTAGGCCTTCTTGCCATATTTTAACACATTTTATTGTTCAATCTCTGCAGTCAATCCACCTTACTGTCTCCCAGTAATTACCAATTTCTCAACAAGTGACCGACTAATAATCCTTTCTGAAAGCTGGGGAAGACAGACTCAATTTCCAAGATCAACATTCATGGAGAAATTATGTCTTGCCTGATTAACAAACCAACCACCCTAGATTACTAATCCAATGCTTTTCCTATTGAGCTAAGCAGGTAGATCTAGCTTGCTGTAAAAACTATTGAGTCAAGGATGCATATGTGAGTTTATTCATCCAAATGAAGACCTGATAATCTGATATAACCACTTACATTCAGATATTCTCAAGGATGAAAAACACTAAGCAATGGATGCTTCTAAAATTTCATCTGAAGATCTGAAAATCTGATATAAAACACAATGTGGATGAAAAAAAAGTGGATGAAAACATAAGAAAAACAAACACAATACTGTAATATTCAATACTTTACTTTTCATAATGTCTGTCAACACAAAATAATTAGAGTGTCTATAGGATGATCATAAGATAAAAGAGAATTGAGCAAGCTTACAAAATAATACATCATATATTCTATTTTCTCGCTTACAAACATGCCAAGTTGTCATCAATTTATACAGAGTACTATCTGATGCATTATTCATACAGTATGCTGCAGTTACGTGCAAGATCCAACAGATATTGAATTATTTACATAGAAATGTAATTTTATCTTCTTTTTTTGTTTGTTTTATTTCCCAGATTCAACTTAATGAGTTTTAAGCCATTACATCAAATGCTTTTAACAGCCTTGTTTGCAGATGCATTTCTTAATTTTTTAAAAAAATTTTATGAATTGAAAACATAATAATCATGAGTCATTTCCAATGAAATTGTATCATCAACATGTTTATAAATTATTCATTAACAAACAAGAAATAAAATATTTTTTTTTGGCTAAATCGATAACTCATTTACATTTTAATGGTATCAGATATAATTTCAATCAATTGTATCACTTTATTTAGATGATTTTGAAACATCAAACATAAAAATCTGTAAATTCAATTTATTTCAAAAGTAGTTTCCATTCAAATACTTATTCAAATTTTTTTTAATTATTAAATTTTTATAACTATTTCACTTGCTATAAATGAATATATAAATTTATGAAAGCATCTTAAACAAATCATGTCGGCTATGCATTAAACATTTTTTTTACAGAAATAGTTTTTAATCTCCATCACGGCTGAAATTTTACATCATATTTTTAAATTTAAAACTTAACTATTTTTTTTTTGACAATTTGGCAATATTTTTTTTCAACAAAAAATAAATAAGAAACGGACAACTTGGCGATATTTTAACTTTTCAATCATAAAATTCTTCATACATAACAAGCATCACTACTTTAATAAATGAATAGAAAGAAAATACATAAATTAAAAATTTTGTTTATTTAAGAGACATATCTATGGCTGACTGACTGGGCTATTCTAAATGAGCAACAATGGTAAAAAAATCTGAACTTGTTCTACTAAGCATATATATGGTGTTCTTGAGTAAAATCCATTTTTGTTCGATTACTTTTTTCCAACAGTAAAAATCAAGCAGTTCAATACAAAATTGGAAAAACTGGTCAAAATGTGATTCTTTGCAATTTTTGATATTGCTTTTATTTCCTCCAAAATAATTTCATGTTTTCTGAACTAGTGTCATTCTTGTACTGGGCTTAGATACCAGAAAAACGACAATGTTGCTGGTATGTGCAGCAAGATTTTTTGTATAAAATTTCTTCGTATATCATTTTCAAAAAATTTCTATAAAATTTTCTAGCTAAATATGTTAGCATCAATGCATTCATCTCCATTTGCCAAAATCACCCTCTGGAATGTAATTTTTAAAACTGAACAAAATGAATTTCTACCCTATTCAAACCATTGCATGAATTTTAAAAAATGTTTCTTTTACCAAAATCTTTATAAATATATAAATAAATCATTCAAACATGTTTTTCCATGCATAAAATTTTATTAATACATAAATCCAGCTACAGTCAGTTAAACTAACTTCTTTACATATACACTGAGACAGAAAATGCCTGAAAGAAATTAAAAGAGCCTTCAAAATTTTACATTTTCTGATCAATATATACACTTGAACTGATCTATTTATAGAAACAAGTGTTATATACCACACTTGTATTGATCTATTTTTAAAATTAAATGTTGTAATATACAACACATGAAGCAGAACCTATATGCTAAAAGGTAAGCAATGCTACACATTACTCCATAACTTTTCACCAAATTCACCATCTATATCAAGAAATTAGGACAAAAATGATATTTGGCATGTAAAAGTGGAAATTTCAGTCTAAACTCATCATTTTTTTTATTTTCATGTATACAGGCATTGATCTATTTATAGAAACAAAGTGTTACATATCTTTCCTAATATATTTTTTCTAAATCAAAGTGGTAGTTAACGTACATAAAGACAGGTAAGAGACACCTAAAATAAATATCATTTATTTACAAATATATTAAAAAAATATCAACAAGTAACGAATAGTGTAACGGCCAAGGTTAAAGCATGCTTTGGTAAAAATCAGTATTCATTTTCAAGTAAGCGCAAAATTTATAGAAATTGGTACTTTATTGAATGCCGGTATCATGTTTTAACTGTTAGACTAAATGGCCTCTTTATATTTATGATCCTTTCATTAACAGAACACTTTTCATTACACATTTTAACTCATAATTCAACTGGAACTGGAGGTTATTAGCCTTTACCGCCAGGCTCTGTACTGTTGGAAGTTTTTAAATTGAAATCCCTTAAACTTTGAAATGGACTGTTCCAAATTCAAAGTTGTGCAAAGTTGTAACACAAATTTAGTAAGTTTAGGATAAAAATGCTCCTAAATCTTAAACATTTCCTGTTATTATACCTTTTAATAAGTTATACTTGTGATATATAAAAATTCATTGAATTTTCCCCTTTTGTCAAACTAATCTTTCCAGTCAATAACCATCTTAAAGGCCCATTACGTTTTCCTTATTTATCCAAAACAAACCCTGACCATTATAATGCAGCGTACGATCACAGTAGTTGTAGAACAAAACATGTTTTACACTTGCAGTACTTTTACCAAGGTAACATATAAGATTTGAAATATATATATATAACTGTATCTTTAACGTGAAATATAAACATGTATTTTTGTGACAGTATTCATGAGTGAGGTATATAATGAAACACACCCAAACAATTTCTCTTACAACAAGGCACAAAATCAGTGATATGCTTCGTAAACGTTTAACTCTTTAAATTAATAATACCCATTTTAAAAGCTGTCAATTCCAAATAAACTTCAAAATGTCACTTTCCTTTTTTTTTTGACAATTCTGATATTCAACTTTTCCTATTGTGTTTTTTTTTAAATAAAAGGTAAAAACTTAATGAGTTCCCATTAGATAAGATTAATTTTAGGTACAAATTCCCCCAAGATAAAAACTTTAATTTATCTCTATGGCTTCCAAAAGGTAAGAAAAATGCTCACTAAAACAAAGAATGTTTGTGTTTTTAAAATTCCTGGAATAACAAAAGTTATCCTCTAAGGCTTTTTCCAAATTAAAATACATTCATATACTTTTTATAAGTATAACTTCAGAGTAACTATTCAATCACTGAGCAAATCTGGTTTCTTCTTTTATATAAAAAAAAAATTTCCATTCTATCCACCATCAATTATACATATAATAACATACTTGAAGAAACAATTGATGCTCACAAGTTTTATTCACAACTAGAGGAAAATTTGAAGGGTAAATATATTACATGCTAGTCAGTCAGTAACGATTTTTAACTTCTAATGGTGGAATGAGATATGTAAGTGATCCTTTCCTAAAATACAATACACCTATATATACAATATGTAAAGATAAAATCTGGACGGATTAACAATACAACAAGAGAAATGCAAAAAATTCATACAACTTTTAAATTAAAACACAGCATAAAATAATCATGTACATACTGTGTTGTGTAAACAATTTAATTTTCACACTATGTTAATAATTAATAATACAATTGTGTTATATACATACTATGCACTTTGTGATCAACTGATGTGTAAATAACTCTGGAGCGTAAACAATTCCGCACACTGTGTATACAGCTTTGTGAAACGTAACCGATTCTAGCCATGTAGGCAAATGAATATTACACACACTTGTGTACAAATTCCAGGTATAAAGTGCACAAAATTCTGTATGTTGAATATATTCCTACACTTGTGTACAAAACTATATGCCATAATCTGTGTAAAAAAAAATCTTCACATTGTGTAAATAATTTCATCAACTGCTCACAATTTTATACACAGTGTGCAAAACCCTTTACACATCGTTATATTACAAAAACCTTAGTGACTTTTCAATGGGAATAAAAACACAAAGAGAACTGTGGCATTTTACCTAAATTTGTTTTACAATCAGTATATCATCATTATATATTCCGATATTTGAATGTTAAAACATCTTTCACAATGAGCACTTAATTGAACTAAACTCTACAAGAAAATTTCTATATACTTAGTACATCTGCTCTGCATATTTTCCTTCTCTCAAAAAATGTCAACATTAAAATCATATCTACATTTCAAATGGTTTTTCTGACTTGAGAATATAAACTGGCATAGGAATATATACATGTACATTTAGATTTATAAACGAGTTTGCCGAAAGTGTTAAGTGCAATGAAAACAATAAAATAAAAACACACAGAAAACTGTTTTTTTTTTTAATTCTTTAAAAATTTACTGACTGGCTATATGCGTTCAATAATGTATCACAGTTAAATTGTAAAACAATAGTTCGCTTTCATAAAAGCCGAATTTAAAATAAATAATACATCATTTTAACATCCACAGCATTATTTCGAGTATGTTAAAATGTAACGATTAAAAATCAACACAACCCTAACACATTCATGGCAGCACTTACATAACAAAACATATAATCTATTCAAAATTTTATTTATTTAACACATGACCCAACTCACAACTGCATTGCAAAAAAAAGAACGTAATGAACAAAAAATAATTTTAAAAAGCACATAAATATAATCACAGATGTTGTAAGTTAAAAAAGAACAAAAAAACTGCACCCATGTCAAAATATTTGAAAATGACTTCTGGTTTTCTTTCCGAAAGTAAAAAAAAGAAGAAAGAATTCCGTCACTATACAGGGTCACGCATTTCATCCGTTCAAATTATTTAAATGATGTTACTTCATGCATTAAAATTAAAAAGGTGAAACTATCAAATAAAAGGCGTATGAAGGATAATATAGAACTCCATATACTGGCATAAACCAGCACTTTATAAGGTTACATAATTTGTTTATTTTCCTAAATCTAGACTAATATTTATTTTTAAAAATCTAAAACTACATTTTACTCTGATTGTGGCGAAAAAAATAATGAAAAACAAAAAAAAAACAAGATAAAAATAATTCAATACCGAACGCTTTTGCTAAATAACATATCTGGCAAAATCCCTGATGAAAATTTTTACTTTTTGTCATATAGGGGAATTAATAGGGGCGGAGAACAAAATGGTTCCTTTGTAGGAAAAGCCCCAAATAAATCAGTTGGTAAATTACTTTTCTCTGGTGCTGACAATTCAATCTGACCAGATCATACAAGTATTACCCTACAAACTTCAACTTAAGCCATATCCTTGCATGTCCCCTTTTTTTCCTCCTACAACTGGAAACATAGAAGATCTATGTAACAAAGTCAGTATTATGACAATTGGGATTATTTTTTTTTATAACAAAAGCAATCTAGAAGTTAACAACATAACAATTATCTATTAAATAATACACAATATCTACAAAATTACATGATTTTTATATCGAAATAAATATCTTTTTAAAACATGCAACACAGACTGTGTTTTTTCTTTCCATTACTTCCCTTTGAAGATTTTTTACTTCAGTTCTGTTCTGTTATATATTATGTCAAAACTATTTCCTTTTTCTTTCCTTTGAACTTTTATCATAACATTCCTTCCCTTCCCTCGACACAACTAAGTGAAATACTCATTGGGCGTATTCATCTTCTTGACTATATCTATATCACTTCTTTGCAAATGACAAATGTCACAAAAACAATAAATTTCACATGTATTAAATAAACATAAATGTTTTTTCTCTCATCCTGATTGAGGTTCAATCATCCCTAACTGGTCACATGTTTTTTTCTATTAAACCAACCTTTCAACATAAATATCAAAGCCATATTGCTGTCAAAATCAGCACTAAATTGAATGGCCTTTGCAATCCTTTCCTCATTTTTATATGAAAAATGTTCACTCATCTTCAATGATATTTCAATAAAACATACTTCAGGCCTAGTTCTTATTACAGTGATAATTTCCAGGTTTTTTTTCTTCATTCAAAAACCTGGTCTCTAGCCTCATGAATATTCTATCAATTCCTGTAATAACTGAATATGTCGTGGGGTTACATTCGGGTCCGAGGATGCTCTTTCGATCAACTGACTTCCCATATGTGCATGTAGTGAGTTTACTAGTTTGCCAGTGGCTGTTCTAATACTAGAGCTTCCCCCTTGAACGGCCCCACTACTGTTGGTGGCCCCGAGCAGATGCCACAACAATGGCAAGACATGCAACACAACCTGCTTCGTCTTCTTAGGATATACTCGATTCACTAGTTCTGAAAGTAAAAAATAACATTCGTTTTCTAGGGTATACTCGATTTACTAGTTCTGATAGTTAAAAAATAACATTCTCATTATAAACTTTGTTTTTCAAGGGTATACTAGATTCACTAGTTCTGAAAGTTGAATAAGATAGTTGTAACATTCTTATAAAAACATCAGCAACTAGATTTCCCAAACTACACTATAAACACCCCTTATACACAAAAAATTTAATTGGCATATGGTTTAAACTAAACTTTTACAAAATTGCACACATTTACCGGTTATTGGAACTTTTTCTATTTGATGGTCCTCCAATAAAGTTAACATGTCTTTAATCCATATGTCAAAACATGTTTGTTTTCATGTCATTAAATTTGTATGTATCAGTATTAAAGGCACATATTATTTTACATTGAGAGTTTTCTAACAAGTGTTCCCTTGGGCTTACAGCATTTATGTAACATGTTCCCTACATATAAAAGACAACTTCTTTGCATAAATCCCTGTAGAGGACAAAACCACCACAGAATAATATTAGCAAAATAGTTGAACCTGATGCTATTCATCAAGTTAATCAAATAACAGATGGTTTTGAAAACAAAACAAAAACAAAAAAAACAAGCATTTGATAGTATTGCGGGCAATACAGTAGTCCCCTACCGGTCCCTCAAAAAGTTCTTTAATTGTCATACACTCCTGTGTATTGCCATTTATAATGAATTTGAGGATGAAGTCTGTATTTGAAAATATCGACCACAAAACATAATAAAATAAGTTTGTCTATATCATAGTAATGTGTTAAGTTTCCATGCTTAGTAAGGAAATTATGTTTATACAACCTTGTCATATTATTACGATGTGGGATTTTAAAGTAAATCCTATAAGGAATGAAGAAGTTGGAGTGAAAAATACCAGTTTCTCGAAAAAAATCTAAGTTCAAGGGGGACATAATTCTGGAAATAGTCTTGCTAGAGTATTTAACCTTCTCAAAAATGTCGAGTGTTAATAAGAAACATATATATGAAGTTTGAAGTAGATACATTAGGAAATAAAGAAGTTATTTAAAAAAGACAACATTTTTTCCCCTAAAAAATCTAAGTTCAAGGGAGGTAATACTGATATTTTTTGTGCTAGAGTTATAAACCTTGTCACATATGACGTGGTTGATGACCAGAAACTTATATTTAAAGTTTGAAGTAAACACCTTAAGAAATAAAGAACATATAGTGAAAAAGCTGAAAAATTTAAATCAGAAATCTTGAAATTCAGGCTATTTGTTGCCATAGCAACCAGAATTTTCAACATAAGAAGAAAAGAAAAAGATGTGCATAATCTCCAGACTGCCATCTACCCATATTTCAAGTTTCATAAAAATATTTTCAGTACTTTTTGAGTTATCACTGGATCCAGTTTATGTGTTAAATTTGCCATATTTTCAGACTATTTGTTGCCATAGCAACCAGAATTTTCAACATAGGAAGAAAAAAAAAAGACGTGCATAATCTCCATACTGCCATCTATCCATATATCAAGTTTCATAAAAATATTTTCAGTACTTTTTGCGTTATCACTGGATCCAGTTTATGTGTTAAATTTGCCATATTTTCAGACTATTTGTTGCCATAGCAACCAGAATTTTCAACATAGGAAGAAAAAAAAAAGACGTGCATAATCTCCATACTGCCATCTATCCATATATCAAGTTTCATAAAAATATTTTCAGTACTTTTTGCGTTATCGCGGGATCCAGTTTTGTGGACGGACGGATTGACGGACTGACAGACAGACAGACAGACGGACAGACAGACAGACGGACAGACGGACGGAGGGTAAACCTAAAGTCCCCTCCGGTTAAACCGGTAGGGGACTAAAAACAACCTGACTTTGATAAAAATTATGTGGCTAAATAACAGTGTTGGCTAAAAGTTGGATAAAGACTTACCAGCAACAGTTTCTACAAGATGAGGTTTACTGCGAGCACTTGCAGATTGGGCCTGATTTGCCATTGGCTGAATTAGCACTGCACCATCTGTAACACAATTATTATTATATAAATTAGAACAAGCGAAATATCGAAATAAATTCCTAATCATAATCATTTATCAGAATTTTTAATTAATGTCACCATGCCAAAAAGATAACTGGGAGGTTTTTTTTCCCATCTATGCATTCATTTACAATATGGCATATCCATTGTAACTACCATTGACGAAAATCATTATGAAATAGCTAAATGTTGCATTTTTACATTTCTGTGCCTTTTGAACAGTAAAAAGTACATTGTAAATTGACAATACAACTAAAATTTCTCGATACATTTGCAGTGGCATGCTAAATGCATATGTTACTTTTTGTTTTTGTCTTGAAATAAAACCACGGCGACAAAAACGGATCTACTATTAAGCCCTTATCAAAGTAATTAAATCACAACTTTTTTTTGCAGTGCCCAAAAGTCCAAATACTTAAGAGATTCAACTTTGCGATGATAGATAAATCATGTCTAAACTTACCTAGATTTTCTAGCAAAGCATCTATTATATCAATTGCGGTTTGGTTAATTTCCTTATTCTTGGATGAGAGGTTAGGAGATACGTTGCCGACGGCCATGTTTATAACGGAACTCAGTGAGTTGTTCAGAATAGGTATAATCTGTAACATCACTTGTAGGGCGTACAAGTTCACCTTACTGTTAGGGTCTTGTAATCTAGGCAAGAACTTGTCAAATATCTGAAATCATAGGGAAAAACAAAATATGAATTTATGATAAATCTTAGAATAACAAAATAGTATACAGTATATTTATCTTAAAGGAACATTATGCCTCAAAAATGCTGTTATTTTTCTTTCTAAAAACTTTTTAATTTTGGAGTACTTTTAAAGTATGCAAAAAGCTACTCACTGGATAACCATCTTTTCCATCTGTTGATTTTTGGCAAAAAGTACATTTATAGTGAATGAGTATTTGATATGGAATTTTGGAAGTAAAAATACTACTTTGGTTACATTTTGCTACTTTTATGACATTATTTCACATTTATTGCTTTCTTCAGATAACAAGTCTCCAACACTCTTGTAAGTCATTATTTAAATACTATAAAATTCATGTTTGCCTATTCTAAAGAAGTAAACATTTATTTGTTCCTGAAGCATAATGTGCCTTTAAAAATATAGTATGCCAAAGAATTCATTTATCTGAAATCGTAGAATAGATTTATCTGTAGACATACCTTGATAACATTACTGGAAACAAGCTGGGCATTCATCTCGCACATTTCTAACAGGGTGGTTATACCCTTATATCTATCTCTCCAATCATTGGCCGACATCATTGCTGTTAATTCTTTAATCTCTTCCATTGTTGCCTCGTCTGTCCGTGTGTTACTACGACGTTTTGGTGTCTCACTGTAAAACAAATATAATACACCTGACTTGAAATATGCTTTTCTCATGTAGTTAGAAATAAAATTGTATGTAAAGAGAAGCATGTATCATTGTATATGACAAACTTTTATCCTCCTAAAAATTATGGTTTCTAACGGTACAAATTAACCTCTCTAGAGTGACCCCTCTCAGCAACAACTTAAATAGTTGTCTCCTTAAGGGTCTTACTCTGCAGAGGTGGTGCTATATACTATGAATATGTACCCAGACATGAGTTATATAAGCTACATTCAACATAGTTATGTCATTAAATAGGGGAGATAATACTAGGAGGATGTAAGTCTATGCAACACATTGTTATGGTCTGAACAGTAGAAGACCTAAGGTGCCTCTCTAGGCACTATTTTAATCACAAAACAGCATCTGAGTTAAACCAATGACCTTTCAGCAGTACATGGGCGTGTTTCCTTCAAGTTTATGAATTAGTTATTATTTTGTAAACAACAGTCTGAGTATCAGTAGGAGAGATCAGCGAACTGCAATTACCCTTGCCTTATAAATGAGTCATTTCAGATTAAAGATTAACATTCAGACGTCATACACACTGATCCATAGGCACTAACTTGATCTGATATATAACTACATACACTTTCATGTTCAATTATTTATAGCGACCAACGGAATTCCATATGGACAATCTTATAGAGATAAATGTTCGATTTATGAACCACGCATAAAACTGTAACTTTAACCGTCCCATGTGAGCATTACAATTAATAGCCAAAATATTCAATATTGAGGAAAGATAGATTGGGTAGTAGCAGCTTAAACCAGGTAAACATTATTATGCCACTATGAAATTCATAAAAGGGGAGTGGTTGCCTAGTGGTTAAGGTGTCTGCCTTTCGACCCAGGCAGAATGGTTGCAAGCCATACCAGAGTCTTATAGTATTTGTAAGCAGCCAACAGGTTTGTTCCAGAAACATGACATGACAGTTGTTCAAATGAGCTAAAAGCTTTCTTCACAGTCATGTTTATATAAATAAAATTCAATAAAAAAATGGATCTTCTAATAATATAACTATATTTCAAAAGAACAGAAACTAGCAATGAAAACAATACCATCAAATATTCTGAAAATTCATAAAATCACTCACCTATTAGCTGAATTTCCACGAATCACCGAGCTTGACCTGCTCCCGTGACCTGACCTCCATCCACGTGCAGACGATGTCTCGTTAGGGCCGTCCCCGATACCCTGAAAAACAATTACAAATGTTATTTCTAATATTATATTTATGAAACACTAAGTAAGAAACTGCATTAAAAGTATGTCAGTTATTAATTTTTAAACTGGTTTTAATCGTGTGTAAAATTGGTAGAATTTTAAATAACCTACAAGAATTTTAAATAACCTACATCATAGAGAATTCTATTAACAGATTGTGAGATAATTTTTATACATCATAATTAACTATTCTTTTTACACTGAAATGAAACAATGGCACTTAGCTATAAAATTACAAAGTCTCTTAAATCTAGTTTCCCCCTACAAAGCATATTCCTATGTAAACTTGTCCTCTTCTTTAAAGGCACACTATGCCTCAGAAATCCATATTTTTTTCAATAGTTTAGAAATGTCAAACACGTTTTTAATAATATTCAGAAATGGATTTAGAGCATGTGAGATGTTTTACAACTGAAAAAATTAGCGCTGAACATGAAGTAATATGTCATAAAGGTAAACAAAATAGTATTTTGACTTCCATACAGAATACTAATTCACTATAATCTTACCAATAACCAATAGAGCAAAGAAAGAAAAAGACAATTCATCTATGTGGCAAATGAGTATTTCTTTTGACATTGTAACAAACTACGAAAAATATTTTCTTTTTTTTTGAGAAATAAAAATGAAAGCATTTCTGAGGCATAATGGGCCTTTAAAATGATACACTAGAGTTGTGCCCTACCTTGATTCTCAGTGACTCCACAATTTCCTTCACATTTCTAAGAGTATTGTTTGGTAAATGTTTAGCTAGCATCTTGTCAAAATCTTGATGAGTCATTAAATTATATAACATCTTACGGCCATAGTACCTGCAAAAATAACATTTACTGTGAATTCATGCAATTTCGTGGTCATGCAATTTTGTGATTTTGTCACAATGGACATTTTCATGGGATATTATATTTGTGGATTATATATTCAAAAAGTAAAATGGGAATGCAGAATAATCTTACAGCAGCACAAAATTTTGCAAAAATCTTGAATTTGCGGAATTAACTATCAAAGGAAATTAGTGTCACACCAATAATAATGATTTTGCAGAATATGTCTTATAGATAAAAGTGCCTCTTGAAAGATTCATCTCATAGAAATTGATTGTAACAAATTACATTTTTTCATCATATAGTTTTACCTAGTATAATATACATTCATAGACTTTATTTCTGTCGATCATTAAATGAGCCGCGTCATGACAAAGCCAACATAATGGGTTTGCGACCAGCATGGATCCAGACCAGCCTGCGCATCCGCGCAGTCTGATCAGGATCCATGCTGTTCGCTATCAGTGTCTCTACTTGTTATAGGATTGGTAAGCGAACAGCATGGATCCTGATCAGACTGCGCGGATGCGCAGGCTGGTCTAGATCCATGCTGGTCGCAAACCCATAATCTTGGTTTTGTCATGACGCGGCTCAAATGTTTGGGACATCAAGAAGAAAATTTAGTCAGTCAACAGTATAGTGTCTGACAGACAGCAAGGATGTGCAGGCTGGCCTGGGTCTATACAGGTGGCAAAGGCTAATCAGTTTCGGTCCCAGCAGGTTACAAGTTAGTATATATATTCAAGACTCGTATCACCTAAGCTTTGTGCATGTCAGCTTTTATAAAAGATGCTGCTAAATTCGTGCTCAAAATACACATCTATTTTTGTTTTAATTGGTTTTATACCTAGTTTCTTGTGAGCTATCCATGGAGAACTGAGCTACTGCAGGGATTATACGATCGGTGACGTCTTTAATTCCTGACAATACACGTCCCGGTCCCATACGCTGTACTATATTAACTAGGAACCGAGCCGTTGTCCGTCTAACTGATATATTTTTATGTCTGTAAATAAAACATGTACTCTTTATTACATTTTCAGCTCATATTTATTTTCATTCTCGTTCAAAAGAATTGCCCTTTGTTCCCACAGTAAATGATACCCTACTATTTCACATTTTTCTACATCATTTTTATTCCTAAAGCTTCCAGTTCAAATCATTACATGTAATAAATAGTATTCATTATTATGCAAATTTATTATTCATAAAATATGTTTAAACCAATCTTTTACTTTAGTTTAATGGTGTTTCAAATCATTATCTATACAGTGAGTTAGGCACATCTAATAATTATTACTTCAACAGAACATAAAACTTTTTGCAAAAAGGCTTAATCAATAAAGTGAATGAACTTTACAAAATTGACGAGAACAATACAGGAGACACTTACGTAGCACCACCAGCAATGAGAGCGATCAGCGCCCTCTGTGGTGTTACAGCTTCCACCATGGCTTGTAACGCCCTTTCTGAATCTTCTCTGATAAACCCGTTACTCTCGCCATTCTTTGCTAACAAACCTCTAACAACCATGTCAAGATCCTACAAAGGTACAAAAGATTTTTTAGTGACATCTTGATATTTTATTCTCTATTTTTTTAAAATATTAATTTGAAATGAAATAAAACAAACTGGTAATATAGACCAATAAATCGTCACTGAAAGCAAAATATATTTGAAAATAATGCTAACTCAGTCTTAGTTGTTCATGGGATAGAGAAAGACATGAAAGTGCAACACTAAAGCTTCATCAAATATCAAATATTTGCATAAATGATCCTGCAGGCTTACACAATAAATATTAAAATGATACATGGGCGATTTTTTACTGCCACCACACAATATTTGACTTGCCTGTCAGAAAAAAAGGGAGACCCTACAATAGCAATGAAATATGAGTTAATGATGAGACAATATCAATACTCACTGTGTCCATGTGTTTGGTTAGATAGACAAACAAATCTCCCATACAAACAATGGCAAGTCTTGACACCTGAGATCTGAGGTTCTTTATTTCACCAAGTATAGCTACAATAACTGGATGCAGGTTGGCTATTAATACATCCTTGTGATACACGGACAGACGGCGTACACTGTTGATTCCGCCACATTTTGTCTCCCTGTAAATACATCAATTTTATGAATATTAACCTTTTTTAACTTATGCTCATTGTTGTCATAATGCAATGTTTTTTGTTTTTTATTATTTCATTACATTTATAATTGCAACTGAATTGCAAATGACAATGTCTATGCCAACAGGACATTGTCCGAACTGCCTCAGTTTTGGCCGTATACTGTGGACTATGAAATGAGCATACACTTCATAGTACCACAAACCTTCAATTATGTACTTAGATAGCAAACTCACATGACATAATTTTCTCAGTTGTGGAAATAAACTAGAAACTAGCCAGGGGCAAGTTTACAAAACAGCCACACACAGTGGCTGCTCAGCTAAAATTATGATAAAAAAAGATGAAGAAAAAAGAATTGCTTTTATTTATAACATTTGGCTATCAAGTGACAGTCTATTAACTAACGTCGCAGCATTGGCAGTCTATTTTGCAAAGAAATTTGATAATGTGATTAATTACCAATTATGTGATTAGTCATAGATTTTGTGGTTAATTATCAACCATGTTACTAATTATCTGTAACTGAAACATACCAGTCATCTTGAGCCATATTTTTATGTGCCTGTCGCAATGCTAGATCAGGATCTTTGTACGGTTTCCAATCCTCAGGGTTGTCCGATTCCAGAGGTGACCGTGATGACGCAGACAGGGGGTGACTAGAGTCTACTACATCCATTTGCCTGTGAATATATTATCATCATTATTATAACTAGTTAGTAAGATAATCATCATCATTATCTTAATAATCAACAGTAACATCAATAGTAACAGAAGTAGCAATAGAAGTGGTGGAGGTGGTAGCAGTTATAGTACATGTAATTTTATTGGAATTTTCATTAGTATTAAAACAAGTATTTTCATTAATAAGGCAATCTTATAAATAAAAATATTTAAAAAAATAAATAAAATAAAATAAAATAAAAAAAATACAAATAATGATAATCATAACAAAAAGAATACATAAGTACCATACATTCTTCAATAAATGTCCCTATTTTAGTAAACACCCACCTTATGAAATGACAAGGGGAGTTTATTAGAGAATATTGGAGTTCAACTTTTTTTTGTGTGTTTTAACTATACATCTATTTTACCATATAGACTCTAATAAACCCCCCTGATCTGATAAATGCCCACCTTTTGTTATGCCAAGGTGAGTTTATTAGAGAATATAGAATAGTTTTTCTCTTTCTTTTTTAAACTATAAATGAGTTTTGTGGCACAAAAGTACACATACACATGTTAAAATACTAGAATAATATAATTTCCTTCACAAAAACACACCAAAAAAAAACAAGAATTTATTGTTTTCATGTCTATGCATACAATAACAGCTTAAAAGACTCAGAATCAATAGGAATGCAACAGCAATGTTAAATCAAATAACCTCTCTAATATCCATATACCATGCTCATGGGAATTGTTGTAATGTAACCAATTACAAAAAGCAATTATTGAGCAAACAACTTGCACTATTCATCTATTATATAGTCATGCTTGCAAATAACGTTATGCCTTTACTGCCATTGCTTGTTAAAATGAGTTTTTAACAGATGGAAGATGTATGTACATAAAAACACTTTTTAAAATAATATAGAAATTATTCAGCTTTACTGGTGAAGAAAAAGACCTCTGTAAAAACCCTCTCTGTAGAGAAGGCACCTGCGTAGAACAAGCTACCCTTGATATTTTTCTTCACATGAAAAAAATTCTACATCCCTGCCAAGATTTGAACCGACAAATGTGTAAATAATTTGACATCAGCAAAACTGAATGACTTAGTCATATAGGCCCATTGCACAATGACATCACAAGCACCTGCTCTCAGAATTTAGCAGATTTACTGATTTGCAAAATATTTACATGTATATACATTATATACGCCCCTGGTGTAAGAAACAATAAGATTTGTATTCCTTATAAAGTTATTGCAACATTTGAGCTATCGCCAACTTACGGTTTGCTCTTCTTTCTTGGTGTCAGGGAAGGAGACGCTCGTGTCTTGGGTGTGTTTATGTTAGATGATGACCCAGATCCAGATCCAGCCCCGGATATTGATAATGCTAAAAATAGAAAACAATCAAAATAATGTTTACTTAAAATAACACCATTCCATAAATTCACAATTTGCAGATTCAGCCATTCTTTGTTGTTGTTTTTATTTTCGACATAAAAATCCATACAATTTTTCATTTAAAAATACAAAACCATTTTATATGTATTAGTTACTAACATAAATTTTAAAGGTATTCCAACCCATATATAAATATTTTTTTCTAATTTTTAAACAAGATTTTTTAGAAGTATCTCCCTTTGCAAAAACTAGAATAGCATTCATTCCCAAGGCAATCTATCCAGATAATTCTCCATTTTAACACTTATGCATAATATAATTTCACATGTCTGCAATTGATGTAAAGATCAAAACTGGTGCCACAATATTACCCTTCATACATTTTCAAAGAACAAGTTGTTGAACTTTAAAAGATCAAATGAAACAGTTACATGATTTTCTGTTACAGCATTACTGGTACTTTAATCAATAATTTATTGCATTAAAACAGCAATATGCAATTAATAACAACATTCTGTGCAAAAATTTGACAGCTCAAGCATTTTTTATTGTGACAGCACTTAAAACTTTTACAATGGATCACTTTATTGCTAATAGAAGATCACCCAGACAGGTCGGTACAAAAATTTTGTACATAGTGTCTTCTTTGCACAGTAACAGTTTAAGTTCTATCAAGATGTAATAGGAGATTACTGCACTAAAGTGACGGTATATTTCAGACTGTATGACACTTTATTATTATTTAGTCAACTTTCATTATACTTTTGATTATTGAGATTGAAAAGTTTGTGGTTACTAAACAAAATTAGAGTACTGGTAACACTGGTGACTGCTCTTATATGCAGCTTTGGCAAACCTCTCATTATGAGAAAAAGGTAAGAAAATTCATGCCCCAATAAGTGGGAAATCAAGTGGAGAAATCCATGGGGACAACAAAAAAACAAACAACAAATTAATAATTGTACAGTACATCTGATGACCTCAGGTGTCTAAATAAACTGTATATGAATAAATAAGCAGTTTCAACAATTTTGCAGTGACATAACAACTTATAAATCTCGTTAATTACCAATCATTACGGAGCCTCTCAGTTTCCTCGATCAATATTGACATGCATTTACCTCCATGCCCTACTAATCAAACGCATTACAATCAAAGTCGAAGACAACGAGTATCTCTTCAAATCCCCTGATACGAGGCCAGAGAGAAAAAAAAAATTTCTGACGTCACTTTTCAAAAGGCAGCTAAATGTGAATGTAATAGGAAACCTAGAGAAAAAAATCCATCAATTCTGCCTCGAATACATTTCCCCTTAAATCAATTAAAACATGAAAATCTATAGCGTGCCAGGAAATGGGGATTTTGTCACATCCATTACAGCTTTAATGAACATATTCAATTCACCTGTTTCCTTAAAAATGCAAAATTCTTTTTTGAAATTATTCTGGCAAACAAGTTCTGATAAAAAAGATTTCTATATTTATACAGACTTAATTGAATAGATAATGGATGAATTCTATTTTGACTATGTTTTTCTTTTTCTAAAACTGTGTATTAATAAACTCTGTGAAACACAAGACAGACAGATGGTGATCCAGTTGTGAAATTAATAACAGAAATTATAGAATATAAAGGATCAATGAGCAAGAAAAATGAATGTTTTTCTATGTTTAATTGATTAATCAAATATTCAAATTACCTTGCACATGAATGAATAAAACAACAGCTGTCAGGAGGGGCATGAATAAATTGAATGTGTCATAAATAAATTAATTTTCTTGTAAACCCCACCCGTCTTGATAAAAACCTACGTAAAAATGACTTTGTAAAAATTATTTGAATTCTTATTTATCCATTACCACTTTTGCGATTAAACTGACTGATTTTATCAGTAACTTTCAAGAAATTATCAGAGATTCCTGGATTGTTCTGCTTACATATTAGGCGAAAGTGTATTGCAAAAAAAAATTAGTTCCGTTAAATTTCTCTACCTCATGCCTTCTAAATACCACTACATATAATAATTCTAATAAAATCTTGTTTTCTAGTAAGAAATAATTTGATATTATATTTCTGATCAATGAAACTAGATAGTATAGACAAAGAAGGTAAAAAAGATATAGTCACAGCACACTTACACTCAATACCTAAACTCTCGCTTGTGTTAAGCCGTCTAAGTTTTTCTTGTTGCCTCTCTCGTTCTTTCTTTAATTTTTCGTCGTGTTCTTGTTTTTTCTTCTCTCTTTCCACACGCTCTCTTTCGTTTTCTTCTTCTAGTTGCTTCTTCCTTTTTGCGATTGTATCGCTCAATTTTTGGCTCATCCGCAAATTATTCGGGTCCTAAAATAACAACAGAAAATATTATTCATAAGAAACCTAAAAAGTTTAAGCAAATAACAAGTTAAAAAGTAAAAATTATAAACTTTTACTTTTTAAACCATTCTTTGTTCAGCAATTAATTATGCTTAAAAAGAAAGATGTATGCAAAATCATTTTATGCATAAACTTTAAAATAAAATTTGTTTTCATAGTAAATGCTATTTATTGCATTGTCTAATGTCATTATTATGTTCTACGCTTTTAAACACATTCACTATAGTAACACAATCAAATGCCTCTTGATTTTGTTTTCCTTTTATAAAAAGTACAAATACCAAATGTTTCTGAAAAAAAATAAAAATTGTCTTCCAACAAATTTTAAAATCTAATAATGTAAAGCATTTTTGTTATATTTCCATTTACCAGCCTTCTTTTCCTTTTCCATTTCCCAAAACAATCCAACATATTGCTGATTTTCTTTTTTACTTATTATAATTTTACTAAAATCAAACAAATTATTTCAAATATTTCTCTCTGCACAAATCAACTATCAACTCCTATGTTTTAACAATTATTACACTTTTGTCACAAAAACCTTAACACATCATCTCTTAAATTTCATATATTCAATAAATTCAATGACAACAGGTTGCATCTGCTATCAAATATTGTTATAAAGTTATCCAATTTTCATACCTAAATCTATCAAACTTTGCCATGATCTGGTGTGTGAAATCAATTAAAGTCATTTAATTATACCAACTCTAGGCTATGATCATCAATATTTCAGGATGCTTATTTTTGTTTGTATTGTAACATACCAAATGATTAATGTCAACGAGTCAATTCAACCCTTCCACCATACAAGTTGGGTTTCAAATCAATTAACTTTTACAGAAATTCCTTCGAGTATATTATTATCTATCACGAAAATCCAGATTTGTAATCGTAGAATGATACTGTATATCTCAGTAACTACGAAATCAACCTTGCCCATCTATACTGGGAATTAAAGATTTCCCGTTGCTTATTCTATAACTCTTTCTGAAACAATGACCTGCCTAGAATGTCAAAAGTTTGTGTCGTTAACATTTCAGTGCCTGTAAGACATAAATGACACAGTTATCTTATATGAAGAAATTGTGAACAATGCTAATGAGCCAATGATTGATAGCTCAATATCACTGTAAAAGAAAGTTCTAGAAACCATGTCAATAGATATTATCTTGAACTCGGTACAAACAATCTTTTGCTGTTATAGCTAAACAGTGTGCTACTGGTCACCATACAGTCAACCTGTTGCGCTTAATTTCGAAGCTGTAACTGTTAAAGTTTAATTGTAACCCCATATTTGCTTGGAAAAACCCAAAATATTCTTAATTCCAGGGACTGTTACAGTTTTTGGAAATCCTAATATGTAGGAAAAGTTATTTCTTGCATTTTTCAATAGTCTCGTTCTACTAGTTCTTCAAAAAGTTCAAAAGAAATTCTTCACAAGTAAAATCTTTATAAAAAATAAGCATATAAAAACACCTACGTCATCTACATCATCCAGAATGTCCATGCTTGGGTCCTCAAACGACCCTTGCTTGCTGACCCCGACTCCCACGACCCCACTCGTGAAATCTTTTCTATCCTGCTTCATTGGTTGACGATTGTTTCGATCGTTAGACTGAGAATTTCCAGCGTTTATTGCATGTTCTGTACCATTAATATTTTCAAACATTCCTGAAAGGCAAATACATGTATTAAATACTATCCTGTCACGTCCTTGTATGAAAGTCTTCAATCAAAAGAATTAGGAAGGAAAGAAAAACCAATTTAAAATCTGTTTACGCAAATCTACTTAGTATTCTGTATGCAATTCCATAGAAAAAGCTGTTCAAAAAATTATTTTAATTATTAAGAACGAAATAATTAAAACTAACGAAATTACGTCAAAAACTACCCAATAATTCATGACTACATGACTGTATGCATTTCATGAGATTTAAAGTATGCTTATAAAAAAGAAAGATTTTTAAAAGCTTTTATGTAAAGTAACTAATGGCCATTTTCAAACAACAATTTCATAACTTATACATTAAAGATAAAAGAATTATGTTTTTCAAACAGCATTTTTTCTTCAGTTTTAGCTACTTTAATATTTAAGATAATAAACTTTTTTTTTCTAAATGCTTTATCTGTTAACAGTATTTAAATACATTTTTACTACACTAGTTGTTTAAGATAGGATGGTACTTTAAAGAAGTGCAATATGATTTATGATGCGAAACTATTCCACCACTTAACGCCTTGTTTAAGCCTTGTTTAGGTCTATAAATAAATAATTATGAACTAGGTATTCTCTTGACAAGACTACGTATGTGTACAGTGGTACTATACTCTCTGTTCACAAATTCATGTCCTATTAAAATTCTTATTTGTGAACTGCATGAAATGTTGAAATAGAATTTAAAACTAATCAGTTGATGTAGTCGCACTGTCATTGTTAAAGTCATATAGCTACATCCAAGATTTACTGGTGGAGGAACGCCTCAGGGTGGCAGACGACCATTCAAGTATCATTTCAGGCACAAGCCCGCACTCGAGTAGAATCAATGGCCTTCAGTTCAGCCTCCTCTAATAATAGAACTGAAGGAGACTCTTGGTGGGATTTGAACCCACAGCCATGAGGGTCAAGTTGATTCACCACTCGTTAATAGAAAACCCAAGATTGTTGTTGAATTTCAAATACTCTATATTGTTTCAAATATAACATTCAAAATGCTCTAAACATGTCATTCTGTTATACATGTATACTGTACATTCTTTTAATTAAAGCAGACAAACATGCAAAAAAAACTTTTGATTAAAATAAAAACCCTATGAAATACTGAATATTATTGATGCTTTATTATAAAATCACCTTGAAAAATTATTATTATTTCTGAAGGCAAATTAAATATAAAAGTATATGATTTCAAGTTGTTAATCTATTTTTGGCTGTCTTTATGATGTGTAATTCAAATACCTTACGTAACTAATCAATTTTGAATCAATATTGTCTGTTAGTGTAAACATGTTAAACAGTTAAATCATGCAAAGGAATTATTAGGTAATATAAATATATAACTGTATAATGTAATAGCAGGAAATGAATATATTGTTATTTTTCACAGAAGAAAAAATATGAACAGTAGAAGACAGGAAATGTAGAGTGAAAAACTTATTCTTTAAGACCTCTACAATGTGTTTAGAAAAGGAATTTTCCTTTCAGATTGTACAGTTTTATATCTGAAAATGAAAGATTACCGTCCTATTTAATCCCATCAAGTGATAAAAGATCAGTTAAAGTCTTACAAGATTGCAATTTAAAGATGAACAACTGGTGAAGAAGGTACAGTAAGACAGAGACGGATAGAAAGAGAGACAAACAGACAGACAGACAGACAGACAGTGTGAAGACAGCACAGTGACAGCAAAGACAAGAAAAGAGTGAGAGTGATTCTCACAACATACCAATTCCCACAACACCTATTCCTTCGGGACTAGGTGAAGTATGTTTGCTTTCTTCCTCTGATTCCAGGGAACCATAGCTGTGCATAGAGGCGACACCTAGTGGTGAGAGAACTGAGCCTGCAAATCAAGGGAGAGAACTCTCACCAACACAAACAACAAACAAGGGCACATTCTTTGTGAAAAAAATAAACAATACTTGTTCACAATGACGCAGAAAAATGAAAATGTGTTAGATTAACAAGGAAAAAATATCATGACTCTACCAGCAAATAGTATTTGTTTTAGCAAGTATAATTTTTGCATGGAGCAATTTTTCTGATATCAAAAAAATCCAGTAAGCTGGTAAAGTCATAACACGAGCTCGACTCCAAATCATATTTCATCCCTTAAATTATAAAATTTCCACTGTCTTCTCATTTAACAGAAAAACACTAAATGTCACAATAGAAAGAGTCCAATTCAAACTGCAAACAAATGCAGTTTTCATGCACTCGATTCTGAGGGCAAGAAATCCAAATCTGGAGTCGTATAATTTATGCATCTCATAATCTTCCCTATTCTATTCACAGAGTACAAAATTACCATTACACAAATGCACTATTTTTATTATTATTATCATTATTATTATTATCATATATACATATATAATCACACAGGGTTAAAATTTGCATGGCTAAGTTTTAATGAGAAAACATATCCCTGATCCATTTCAAACTAGCAAATGTTATAACCAGCTGATTTTTTTTTTATTATTGAGAACATTTTGTAAGAACAATCATATAATATGCCAATGCCATAAAAAGGATAATTATGCTTGTACAATTTATTGACATCTCCAGAGTTCAAAGAATAAAACTCTGATATAGCTTCTTGTTTGAAAGTACAATGTATATCAAGATATAATATAACTGCATTGAACCCTTTACAATATGGTTACAAACTGATAACAGGTAAATTTGCAAAGACCAAATCTCTTGAGCATGCCACCAGTACATTTCTTATATTTTACAACGGAATAAAGGCTGTTTCCCAAATCCTAAAAAAGGTATATTTTCCCCTGTAATATATAAATGCCCTGTGCACATTCTTCACTAGAATCATGACATAACAGCAGCTGACTTATATCAGCTTATTGATCAATTTAATAATTGACTGAAAGACATAAAGCTGTCCCTATAGATAGCTCATACTGTGTACCATTACTGAATTGAAATTGAAAATTTTATAAAATGTGTGGGTAAATTCCATTCTCAGTTGCTGGAATTGGATTTCAGGTTTTCTCCTTTTCTGATTTATCATGCTATATTTTCCCCTTCAGAAAGCCACTGGTCATGCTTTATTTTCCCCTTCAGAAAGCCAAAGGTCATGTTATATTTTCCCCTTCAGAAAGCCACAGGTTTTGCTATATATATCTTTTCCCCTTTAGAAAGCCAGCCACAGGACATGCTATATTTTCCCGTTCAGATAGCCACAAGTTGTTTTGAAAATTGAAAACAAAAAAAATCTCGGACAGTTTCACAGGTCAATGAGACAGCTCAATTTTATCAAATTCTGATAATGAAATCGCTGTCAGTAACAATGTTCTGACATTTCCAAACTCAAGGCAGGATAAGTCCATTGCACAAAGCACTGCAGCATGGAAATGGCTGATTTTACTAGGTGACATATTTTGAATTTTTCTGTGAGATTAGTCTTTTGTGTGAATATATATAATACTATTTTGTGTGAATATATCATATAACACTATCAATCTCTAGTGAATAAAATTTCATATGAAAATCAGTCATGTTTTATTGTGATCATTAACACTTGACCAATTTCAGAAGAATCTTTTAAAAGTTGATGCAACATGGTTTCAGATAAAATACGAAAGTTATGCTATAAACAAGAGGGCCATGATGGCCCTGAAGTCGCTCACCTGTATATAGGCCCCTGGAGCGGGGCCAGTTTAAACCCCAGGGCTTTTATTTGAACAAATATGGTAGACACCCATTAGAAGATGTTTCATGCTAAACATCTAAGATGTATCTCGTTGGGTTTTTTAAAAAAAGATTTTTCAAGTTTTTTCTTTACACATATAGATAAAAACAATGACACACCTAGGGCAGGGCCAGTTTTGACCCCAGGGCTTTTATATGAACAATCTTTGTAGACACTTACTAGAAAATGTTTCATGCTTAATATCTAAACTCTAGCTATTTTGGTTTTTCAAAGAAGATTTTTAAGTTTTTGCTATTCACGTATAAGGAAAATTAATGTCCCCTGGACGGGCCAATTTTGACCTCAGGGCTTTATTTGAACAAACTTGGTAGACATTCACTAGAAGATGCTTCGTGATTTATATCTTAGCTCTAGCTATTTGAGTTTTTTCAAAGAAGAATTTTTAAGTTTTTGTTATACACATATATGGAAAATGAATGACCCCCGGGGCGGGGCCAATTTTGACCCCAGGGCTTTTATTTGAACAAACTTGGTAGACACTCACTAGAAGATGTTTCATGCTTAGTATCTAAACTCTAGCTATTTGGTTTTTTTTTTCAAAAAAGTTTTTCAAGTTTTTGCTATACACATATAAGGAAAATCAATGACCCCCTGGGGCGGGGCCAATTTTGACCCCAGGGCTTTTATTTAAACAAACTTTGTAGACAACCATTAGAACATGTTTCATGCTAAATATCTTAGCTCTAGCTCTTTCGGTTCTTTAAAAGAAGATTTTTTAAGTTTTTACTATATGCATATAGGGAAAATCAATGACCCCCTGGGGCGGGGCCAATTTTGACCCCAGGGCTTTTACTTGAACAAACTTGGTAGACACCCATTAGAAGATGTTTCATGCTAAATATTTTAGCTCTAGCTCTTTGGGTTCTGTAAAAGAAGATTTTTTAAGTTTTTACTATATGCATATAGAGAAAATCAATGACCCCCTGGGGCGGGGCCAATTTTGACCCCAGGGCTTTTATTTGAACAAACTTGGTAGACACCCATTAGAAGATGTTTCATGCTAAATATTTAAGCTCTAGCTCTTTGGGTTCTGTAAAAGAAGATTTTTTAAGTTTTTACTATATGCATATAGAGAAAATCAATGACCCCCTGGGGCGGGGCCAATTTTGACCCCAGGGCTTTTATTTGAACAAACTTGGTAGACACTCACTAGAAGATGTTTCATGCCAAATATCTAAGCTCTAGCTCTTTGGGTTCTTTAAAAGAAGATATTTAAAGTTTTTTCTTTCGGTTGCCATGGCAACCAGAGTTCTGCATGGAATTAAATTCTTTGAACAATTTTTAAAGGTGACCACCAAAGGAACATTCCTGTGCAGTTTGGATGAAATTGGCTTAGTGGTTTATGAGGAGATGTCATTTAAAGCAAAAGTTTAAGGACGGACGGCCGGACGACGGACGGACGCCGGACGAAAAGCGATCACAAAAGCTCACCCTGTCACTTTGTGACAGGTGAGCTAAAAACTTATTAAAAAATTAAAAAGATGTTTTTTCTTGTTAGGCGAAATTCATAGATAATACTGCTTTTTGTTGGACAGGAATACATTAATGTTCTGCTTTTCTACGTTTATTCATAAGGTATTGCCACAAATATAGTAGAGCTGGGAGCCTTTTCAGTATCTGCCACAATACATGACGATTCAAAATTTCTAAACATAGTTAACCCATTTGCCTGTTGTAAAAAATTATGCCACCAGATGTGAAGGGCCTGGTCAGACTGCAAAGGAGAGCATGCTAACCTTGGCTCTATACTGGCGGCATAGCCCTGTAAAAATCAATGCTTACCATTCAGATTTTTAGATCGTATCGTTGTTAAGAATTTTGTAATTTCAAAAAAATTATCTATAATTTAAATTTTATATATAGATCTAGTGAGAACTCGGTGAATAGAATATAGAGGGAAGAATATAACCATCAACATTACATGTTATAGCAACAAGTTAGTGTTAGCAACAAAACTTTGTGAAAACATTATTTTACTTTAAAAAACTTGAACGGGTTTAATGTAACACAGGATGATGTGATTTTTAAATGCAATGGTATTAACGTCTGAGGATAACATATCAGTTTCATTCCGTGGCATTACTGAATTGTTTGGTAAAATATTATATCAATTATCCAATATATACAAGATTGGAGTTTCTTTTAGATTTAAATCCATTTAAGGTTCAATGAAAGCAAGAAACTTCAAACACTTTCACAAGAGGCTAGCAGAAATAATTTTTTTTTTTTTTATTAAATTTTGCTTTAGAAAGGCTTGTATTTTATAACCTATACAAAATACGAATACAATCAGACAGATACCTCATTTTTTAGAAAAATATACTAATTCAATAAAAAATACACTAAAATTGGATTTAAAAAACCCCATAACATACAAAAATTAAAACTGATATGTTATCACTCAAAAATGATAAGTATTATTACCAAAGAACATTCTTTGTTCAAATGATCATGCTTAGAAAACAGATGCACAGAAGCACAATGCCATCCAGTAACAAATGCTCTTTTCATACAAAAAAAAATAAAAACCCGAAAAAAAAACCAGGTGCTTAAAATGTGCATTTACCTTTCGTAACCCTTCGTTTATCGGTCGCTTTTTTATTAATTCCGTTAAGTGATCGATTATCTAATGAAGTTCCGTCTTCGTTATATCCTTTCCCGACAACTTGAACGTCGGAATTTTTATTTTCTCTGAATGTTACACCACTACTCGGGTTATAATCCACATACACTGTGTCATCACTATTGTCTCCATTTTTCTTATTATTATATGATCCAGTTCTTGCTAACTTTGGTTTCGATTCAAACGGTGACTCTCGTGGGATCTTAGGGCGTGACTCAAATGGATTTTTGCTGAAAAGGAAAAAAATAAACAGTTACTACATATACATTATCGCAGAAATCGAAAAAATCAAAAATCCAGTTATCCTAAATTTTCATTTTTTTTTTTTTTATTAAAAAGTAACATAAGATTAATAACTAGCCTAATTCTGTTCATATTTTCCTTTATATTTCATTCAGCCATTTTTTTCTAATCAAGTTTTCTCAGGGAAAAAAGGATAATTAACATGTGAAATGCAGTTCATCCATATACAGCCAACAATGTTGGTTACCATAGCAACTCTTTTTAATCCAAATATCAATGAGAATCACTTTTTCCTCTCTTTTTTCTCAGCAGTAGCCTATCAATTATCCATTTTGCCGATAGGTAGATTTCGAGCCAAAGACTTTTTGTAAGGTAGTTCAAGCAATCTACTTTATTCTTTCACTACCATTACTATACACAGACTAAGTTTCCATAGAAACATAATCCACATTTAACTCGAACCTTTTTCTTCAACATCTATACAGCCGTATTAAAATATCATCATGCAAAACTGTACAGACATCTTTTCAAGAACTCCACTTGCCGAGAATAAAATTTATAAAGCAAATGCGAGGTATTATATAGTCTCAATATGTTTTTATAAATTTATTATCATTGAATTTCACACACCCTTTTACACCCAAAATTAATTCTCGTTTGATCTTTTTAATGGAAATAAGAGTGGTAACATTCTTCTCGTAATGCGAATGTTTCAAAATTAAAATTGTTATAATGACGCTACAAATCTTTCAATCTCAGGTATTCACATTCAAGAATGATCTGATATCATCGTACATCTGCAAGATAGGTAAAACGACACCGAAAAATCAAATTATATCCAAAAACCTTTAAGTGTCAAAATTTTTAAAAAAATGAAATTAGGTGTCAAAGTCCATATATAAAAAAAAATGAGAGAAAAATATTCCTTTGAAAATATGAAGTAGGAGATATAAACACATATGGTAACTAAAATAACAAACATAAATTTTATAACTTTATTTGGCGTAATTTGATACTGCAAAGTGACGCTCAATTTGGCAGATGACACTTTGATATACAAACGTAATAAACATCACAATGTGACTAACAATTGAGCTCGTGAACAATTTTTTTCCCCATGAAATGGATATATCTTTTTCCAAGTTTTTGCCGATCAAATTTTAGTCTAAATTGTCCAAAGTTTATAGTAACAGTGCTAAACCAAATTCATTACATGCGAACATTTAAAACAGTGTCGTATTGAGCCAAGTTCTGAGAATAGAAAAAATTATTATCTGATTAACCCCATCATCTCATTAGCTGTATACGAGATTCCATTTGCTGTAATCATACTTATCAATGACTATCTTACATTCAGTTCAAGGCTTCTTAATACTTAAAGGCTGAACTTTGAATAAGATTGATAGTATCATAATACGGCCATGTTCATACATATCGAGGGTCGATCTCGATAATGCTCGAGGGGCGATCTCGACGATGCTCTAACTTAAGCTTTATGTACTAATAAAACCATCGGATACGACCCTAGATACGACCCCAGATTTACCTAGCATCTATATAACGATCTACAACTTACGATTTCTTTTTACTACTTGTATCAGAATCGCTCCAGATTCCACTTTCTTTCAAAGTGTCTGGTGACGGTGATCGCGATGTTAGCGTCGATGAGCTTTGCTGCTCAATAATCTTTTCTTTCTTCTTTGATGCGCTACTTCTGATGCTCATTAACGAGTTCATCATCTGAAAAAGTTCAATCATTCTAAATTTCTGTTTTCAAATGCATGATAACGACAAACATCAATGCTTCCCTGACAGCAATAAGGATTAAGTTTCTTATAAATCTAGCACAGAAAAAAAACCATGACTTCCTGCACTGCACCCGAGAGCTTTGAAATACGATGACTCCATCGAACATTCCCTATGTTTGCAGACCCTCGAGGGTTTAATAGTCTTTAAAAGGAAAATTGATAAAAAAAATGTTAAAAGATCAAAGAAACTTAAAAATTTCAAGAAATCAATTGATTATGTTTGCAGTTAAGCTCAAGATATTGGCCAAACCAGACTGTTAACATTTTACGATCACTTCAATATGATTTCCAATAAAGAGCTATTGAATTTTATTCTACAGACAGACAGCCTTTTTCTGTTTTAGACACCGTTGTTTTACATGTTATAAAGATTTTTTATATATATTTTTATAATATTAATAACAAATTTATAATACAGCAAACTTACATTTTTTTTGGAGAAAAAACTGAGATTTCTTCATAAATTGACAGCAGTCAACTATCTAAACATCATGACTATCCAATGAAAAGCGATGTTACAAAGATGCTGTATTATAAAAATTGTTTTACAACATTTGACATACCAAGTAAATAACCATCGACAGATAAAAGAGAAATAAACAAAAACAAAACTATCAAATAAATATATTCAAAGTAGGAACTTGTCAATATGGATGATCGCACATTCCAATGTGTCAAGTCTACAGACGGACAGCTTTACATTGGGACGGACAGAGAAAGACTAAAAAAAGTATAATTATATAAAACACCCTTTACCATACCAACTATGTAAAACTAACTTTATCAAAGTTCAGAATATACAAATTGATAGATCCCTCTACTACACCAAATTATTACACATAAATAAGTATAAAAAATACCTGTAAAAAGTCAAAAGACAGACAAAATGCTAGCTTACAATATATTCAAAATGTAACAACATGGAAAACATTATTGCAAAACATGTTATAAAAATAAAACACAAATGAGAAATTTGTAAGGTCATGAAAGTGTGTTTCTAGGTTCCAGTCCAAGCAAAGTAGGGCAAATTAAGATATTTTTAATAATCTTTTTTTCTTTTTTTTTAATTGTAATGTTTTGTGTCTTATATTAAAGACAACATTAAGATGCATGAATGCCCAGACACAGCTCTGGAACAGCTAAATGATATTCCCAAATTATTTTGAAAACTAAAAATGTTAATTATCAATTCTTATTTTCAGTGACCTTTGACCACTTCTTATAGGGTCAATTCATTTTTAACCTAAATGACCTTGACCATATCCAATTCAAATCTCAATATTCTAAGATATTGGTCAATATATGCTTTGAGATATAACTTAGTTGTGACAGAAGGACACAGGTTACATTCAATTTTGTTTTTTATAAGCATAGCATAAAAAGTCATGGGTTTGCTGTTGGATTGGGAAAAACTAGAAATAGAACATTTATTTATTGACCTATTTTTTCTTAGGCAAGAGTTCTAGATTCATTTCAACAAATGTTGTGTCAGCAAGGCAAAAATTGCAGGATTATTAATATTTTAGTAAACAAAGGACAGATATTATTCAAACTTAATACTCATTAACAACATACTCCTAATTTAACCCAAAGATACCAACCAGTGCAGACCAAGATCAGCCTTAACATTTGTGCCATCTGATCTTGGTCTGCACCGTGTTCGCTATTCAGTATATAATTTTGAGAATTTCCCTGAAAAATATATGAATGGTTTTATGGTAAGCATGTTAAGGGTTAAAATATAGGGATTTGTGATAGGAATTCAAAATTATGTAGTTTCAGTAGTAAATTGTTATGGTTAAACACAATTTTCAAAAACAATAATTATTTCAATTCAGTGTGTTGTTATTGACTGTTCTTCACATTACCTGCCAGCTTTTCACATAATTCAGTATATGTAATTAAGGATAACTGACGTTAAAATCGATGGTATCACAATATATTGATATGTGACTAAACAAATCAGGGAATAAATCTCTTAATTAGAATACTATAACTGTGTAGTAAACATTTTTAACTCTTAACCAGACAAATTTTTAATTTTGGACATGTGTAGTTTCTATTTCTGGACCTGTTAATTATCAATTTTAGGGATATCAAAATGAAAATTCGAAGTAAGTCGGCCAACAGTACAGAGTTTAGTCAGAATGTTATGCAGGCTGGTCTGGGTCTATACTGCTAGAAAAAGCTAATTCACTTTCTGTTCCAGTAAAGTAAGGGTAAATTTATTTCCCTGATGATGGTAAACTTTGTAAAACTGACCAAATGCACCATAATTCTGGCGATTTCAATATTGAATTTGATGCATAGCTGTAGTATCTAGTCAGATTTCTCTGAAGTGCAAATTTAACTGAATCATAATCATAGTGTTAGCAGTCAAATGGTTTTTTTAGCTCAATTTGGTAAAATGACTGCAGCTTTAAATTTACGCCTATTACTCATTCTACCTAAATTTAGAAGACTGATTTTCATCAACATTTTTTTATGCACTAAAATGTCTTCTACAGAAGTTAGATAAAATTTCAACATGATTGTGGTCTTTATATAAATACAGGTTAGACTATTCAGAAAACAAAATTTCCGATAAAAAGAAATGTTGATGAAATAAACCAGTCCTTAGTTAATAGCAACAAAAAATAAATCCAACAAGATTATATAGGTTAATCAGCAATAAAAACGACAAAAAACAACATGCAAATTCATATAAGCGGACAAACCTTTTCCTGTTGTCTAATACCCTTCAATGAAGACATCATCTGTGATTGGTAAAACAACAGAAAAATTGTGATTTTTGTTAAAACATGCTATGTCATATCAATACTTTTTGTGTACTTTTCTGTGAATTCTATAACTTGACTTGTGATAACACAAAATACATGTATACATTCTTGCTTTAAAATTTTTGTTTACTGAATGAAAATCACGCAGATCAGATCGGCATCTTCTCACACCTTTTCTCTCCAGATGTAGCTTCAGATCGGCATCTTCTCACACCTTTTCTCTCCAGACGTAGCTTCTATGGCAATTTGTATTGCTATTCCACAAAGCAAATAAATCACAGGGGGTTTAAATAAAACAAAAAACTGGGAATTCCTACATACAAATGGTCTATCCTATATCCATGTGGATTTAATTTATTCGGGGACTACACTCTGTTACTAAAAATAGCCATACATACCTCAATGTGAGACTCCGCCTCCAGCGTACTTCCCAAGGAAGTAGCGTATGCACTATCGGCATCATCATCGCGGCTGCTGTGTTTGTCAGAGCTAGATATTGGCGGTACTTTCTTCGTGGGGCGTCGTGTGGCTGAACGTGCTAGTGTTGCTTTTGACGGGAATGGCGATTCATCATCTTTCCCTACAAGACAAAAATGAATTTTATAAGAATCAACCAGTCAACAAAGATGTTAAACACATCATAATTTAATGCATTCTAAAGGCTAATGTTTTATAGTCTAATGCGATAACTTTTCTAACATCTATAAAGAACTAACGACTATAATGTACTAAAGAAAACTGCTTATTTGAAAATAAAAATATTATGTTCTTTGTGCAAAAATATCTACTGATGTAGCACCTTTATTTCATCAATGTGCTGCATCATGCAGGCCATTCATATAACTAATATATGTACCAATATAATACTGGTAGGCTCTCCCAAGTTGTAAAGGTTTGAAGCAACATTTTTGTATCTTAGTAGTTAGTACCAGTATCTTTGTCTACAGTTTAACTTATAATGTCTACAGAGAAAATCAAAACAGTTGTTGTAACTAAACCCTTTAAACATTTGCTGCAATGACTTTGACTATACACCACTACAGATCTGCAAGGCTAACCAGCATACACTGAGTCATGCAATCTGACCAGACCATAATACCGTCTGCTGCCCAATTTTATTATTTTGATATTATATAATCAACACAAATAACAGACAGTACTAGATTCAAAGCAAGTCAAGTGCATTATACGAATACTGCAGTAAAAAGCATGAATCAATGAGCAAGTAACATCAATATTCACGATTCATAGCTACAAAAATGTTGTATCAAAACCCTCTATTTATACAACACTGCTATTGCATGACAAAAATATACATGTAAACATATAAAAAAATAGCAAATAAACATCATTCTGCTCTCAAGGTTATAAAACCATTTCCTAAGCTCTGTCTGGAATCTAATTGGTCTGGCACAGTACATTCTGTGCTGATTTCTGTCCAATCAGATACCTGAGATCTGAGTTTTTAGCTCAAGAAATTTCTTCATAACCATTGAACCTGGAGAGAAACACCAAAAATACCTTTGCATAGAAGAAATGTATACAAGAGAGAAAGTATTTGTATATACCTTTTCTACTATCTTCAGGTGGTGGGATGGGAGTTGGTGGGTCATCCCAGTCCGACTCAACTACAAGATAAAGTTAGTAAAAACACAGGTTAATAAAAGGTTGTGTATATGTGGTGGATAGAGGTAGAGTAAACGTCAAAGAGGTCACTGCAATACTGGTGTAAAAATCTTAATCTGTTTGCCTTCTTCAAAAATGAATAATTTTTTAAGATTATTTTTATCATTCATTCTTAAATTTCACAAAGGTGTATGTATGAAAAGTAGGTACAAACCCATCATTCAATGGATTTGTTTTTTAAACATTAAAAAGTTCCTTAACCTGCTGAATTTGTGTAATGGTTTTGCCCAGCTTCGAATTTGGAACAGTCTATTTAAGACTTTAAGGATTTCAATACAAAACTTCTGAAAATTGGGTTACTAACATTATATAGAGCATGGCAATTCCTTACCACATCCAGTTCCAGCAGGTTAAAGTTTAAGTATTTCATGTTGATATCCCTTATATTAACAATAGGTTGCTCCAAATTTAACTCTGGACAAGTCCATTATATGGATCACAAAAAGACTAAAATGAGCAAAATGGTGATATTTTAATGTATAAATTAATGTAAATTGGGAGCAATAAAGTTTAAAATGTTACTTAATTATTATCATCAATCATTAAAGTACATAAACACAAACATTGCCTACATTTATATTTAACTCATTAATATTGTACAAAAAGAACAACAACATTTTATGACAAATTCTTATTTTGGCAAAACAAGTAAATCATACACAAAAGATCTGATCTAGTCATAATAAAGGAAGATAAGCCCTTTACAATACACTTAATATTAGTATCCAAACCCAAATTCTGGCCGAGAGCCATACCTGTTTGAACTTTTCAATAATGCGTTAAAAGGTTATGCATAAAATTTTTCAATATTGCAAATCTTTCTATTATTACCCAATGCATAGATTTTAAACTGTGTAGTTTATAAAAGATAAAAGACATAAAGACATGTTCATTAAATCCCATTTTCCATAACAGGAACACATAATTATGATCGTCGGAACTTTAAAGAAGATCGGAACAAATTACATGTAAATATTGATATTTGTAAATGTTGGCCGTCTCCTTGCATACGTTAATCCGTCACAATATAAATAGAGTGATAGTAACCTGCCAATACTCGAGGACACCTTCCATTTGCATCTATTATGCTATAGATGTTTACATAAAAGTCTCAAAATTTAAACGCTGCACTTAAAAGCATGTTAATATGAAAGAACATGTTAACTTAAACGCATATAAAATATAAAGAAGATAAAAATTGTAAATTGTAAAACTTCTAATAACAACCGACAAACAAGAAAACACTTGTACGAGTCAATTCAAGATGTTCGTTTTACCATAAATATAATATTTATAGGCAATTATAGATTACAGATGAAAAAAGGAAACAATGAAAAAAAACAAAAAAACTTGAATGACGAAATTTGCCAATTAGCAAATCATGGGTCAATATTTATACGATGGTGCATACCGAACTGATATAGAGGTACAATAAAAATCTTCGTGACTTTCTGTAGGGGGGGCATAAATCAAATATGCTCGCCAAATTCATGTGGGTTATTGGGAATATTTATCAAAATGACACAATATCAAACATCAATGATCAAATCTTACAACTTCAATTTACAAATTTTAACTTAACGCATGAAGAGTTTTCTTCAATCATTTCACAACTAGTCTGTAATACTGTGCATGTTATTTATTTAGATGAGCACTGCAAATGTCATAATTGTTGGCTTACAGCTGCAATTATGACTTGCCAATATGCATTTTCTAAAAGCATTACACTCAGAACTTTCAATTAAATTAACTTCTGTAATGAAAAAAATCCTTTTGGATATATTCACTTCTTAAGCTTTATTTCACTTCATTGATTTACATTCACCACTTGTGGGTACTTTTATTTCTTTAACAGTATGTAAACGACTTAATGATCTACGCTGTCACAGATTGATCTTATCGGTTTTAAATTCTTACCAATTTGAAAAACATCTTCTGACTAAAAATTGAGATAAAAACCAATGAAAAATTAAATCTGTACTTTGTTTTTTCAATCAGTTATTATTTTTCAATCCTCAAAAAGTGCGCCATCATCATCCAATTTCTTCAGCCTTGTACCTTGAGTACTCGAGAAATGTCAACAGTCTCCGCAAAAGTTTAAAGTATCGGAAAAGACTAAGCTAATCTTTTATGACATGTTTATGCCAGTTTTCCTTATCAACAAAGCCTATGATCAGGTATCGAATCATGAAATCAAACATCAAAATCCAATTTTAAAGATATCGGTACTTGAAGCGAACAATGTTCATGTCTAGATAATAACGACTTACGACATCATTTTCAGGTTCTTCCTTGTTTGTTTTATCATTATAGTTGCTACTAAAATAGGGAAGAAAATATCTTTACTAAGTGCCGAAATCGTATGCTTTCTGTATCGGTCTAGTATACAAGACAACGAAGAAGTACTGCACTGAAGTTTGGGTCAACGTCTGAACTACATGTTTACACTGTCATAAGTTTCATATGGTCTCCGTGTCTATGGCACATAATATTTTGAGGTCAATCATTTTGAGCAATATACGTTTCTTTATAAGTTTAGATGCATTTAATTATTTCTGATAATGATTAAGAGGTCAAATAGGTTACCTGACCATAAAAATATATCATCAGTTTTAAAGGACCAATACACTTTATAACTGTGGTTAGTATATAATATTGTCCCTCTTTAAGGACAGAAATTTTCCATTCCCATACCAAAACCTGATTTCCTTAATGAATACAGCATATAAAAGACACTATAAAAATTTCAAGCAATAAATTCTTTAAAAATGTGCAGTTTGGTCAAGCGGTGCAGGCTGCTGTAAAATTACAACAAAAAATTAAAGCATATTGATATGAGGAAAAAATCTGATTTTATAGTTCAATAAAATAACAAGGAAACTGGAGAATAAATATAGAAACAGGAACTTGGAACTAGTCATAACTGGAACAGGAAATGACATCATACTTACTTGGGATGCTGGGTATTGGCTCCAGCTGAATGCTGGGACCCGGCTCCAACTCCAGCAAACTGCTGGGAATAGGCTCCAAACAGCTCGGAAGTGGTACAATGTTGTCTGCTAAGACAAACAGACTGTGTAACGGAAACTGACACATTCTCAAAAACTTAAGTATTCAAATAATCACTGAATTTTTCTAATCATCTTTCCATTTCAGAAGCACTTCCATGCACAACTTAAAACTGTATCCAACATCTTTGAACATTTTTTGTTACATTGATAACCAGTCTATAACCTTACAGTTACATTAATTACACATTATTATAAAATCTGATCTGTTTCATTTGAAGAATTTACTCGATTTCAACCTGTGGTCTCCCACAGTGTCTCAATTTCTTGAATAATATTTTATCTAAATAGATTATCACTCCAACAAACTCCTTCAAAACAGTTCAATTGGTTGTATGACAAGCATACTTTGTACCTTCTTCACTCATAATTTACTCCTGAATAACTGTTATAAATAGATTTATTACTTCTAAACGAACAAATAAAATCCTCATTCACAAGTTTTAGCTTGAAACCATAAAAAAGTGGCACTTCAGGTCTTTCTTTTAAAATTCTCAATGTCATGATTCACTATTATTCAAGATATGATAAACAACGTCCCCTAAAAAGCCGCCACAAAACAAAAAGTGTATTGAAAGCATTATCATACGGACAAACACACAAAAGTAAACTGTCTGCTTTTATTAAAATTATAAATGTTCGATCAAACAAACCAACTTAAAATTTGATCAATTTTTCTTATATTGTATATGAACATTTATTCCTAGAATTTTCCCACTCAAGTGCAATTTCACAAGGTAAACTCAGTTGTTAGTTTCACTATGTCTGCTGGAGCAAGAAATTACTGCAATTAAAACAACATTTCTTAGAACTGACAGACTTGTTGAATAGGGCCAATTAAGCAAAACAACTGTAATATATAGCCCTGTCTAAGCATAAAGGACCCTCATGTTAACAGGTAATTAAAAACTCCGGTTGAAAATCAAATTTGGGTAATATCAATTATTTACAGGTAAGGCAAATTAACTCCATCGCCCATGGGAGCCCTTTATCATGTGCAAACTGCCCAAATCAAACGTTCTATCAAGAATCTATCAGTACTATATACAATACTGATACAATACTTGTATTGACCAATGAGCCAGAGATGTAAACTAATTCATTTATTATTTAAGTCAATTGTTGATACAGGGTAAAAGTTACGAGAGATCAACATGTTTCGCCAACCATGAATAAGAAATGAGTTTTTCAGTCAATCAGTCTATGTAAACGGGGTAACTGTTCCCAGCTCCATTTCATATCTTCTTGAAAAAAACAACAACCGAAAAATCATGAATCTGCTGGGTTTTTTTTATATGAATACTTCCCTACATCTCATAAAAAATCAAATCATTATTCATGTCACATGGCTACTGTACTGTGACCACAGGTCATATCACATACAAACTTCCATTGTCCAACTTGTTCTTTTGAGCAACAACAAAACATTCTCATAACATATTGCCTTTTATCCATAAAGAATTCAATTTTTATGAAAATATTTTCTTGAAAACAGCACCACTAAACAATTCCTTACAAATGAAGTTCTATTAAAACAAAGCCTGAAATTAACATCTGTAAAGCATTATCACAGAACCAACAAAACATGCCATTGCAATATCTGAGCTCTAAGCATGACTTAATACAGAACCAACTCAAACATTACACTGTTTGATTAAAGATTTTTTTACTAAAAATAAATGTATCTTTCCAATTATTTTTCAATAAACAAACAGACGGTAGTTATTTCTTGCCGACACGAACAATGAAAATGCACACAGTAGCCACCGACATTATTTGTTCTATGAAATTGTTATCCACTTTTAAAATTACGAAGACGACAAAGAATCTGACGGCATGATAATCAATTAACGCATTCCTCGGAAACCTGACATTTTAGTGTTTAAATAAGACAACGTTAATCTTTGCTAAAAAAACATGCCATGAGCATAATTCATGTATCATGAAAAAAATATATTAAATTTTAATTAGGTCCTAAACAAATAGTGTCACATTTTAAGACACATGGATGACACTGGTATAAGTGTTAACACTGACACAAATGAAATCTGATTTTATAACTTTTCCGAATTCAATAGAAAAATTTGTCAAAATATTTACATTTTTATCAACAACAAAGGAATAGATGGGAACAGTTAATGAATTATCGTTACGCCTTAAGTGTCAAATTGTAAGATAAATCCAACGTGATTAATTTGTGTTTGTCTTGCTTATAAATACTTAAGTACATCATTAAGGACTCGGTCAGTTTTCAAAAACTTCTGACACAACTTTCGTGAAAAATGAATACAATAAGAGGTCAACAGGTTTTTGGTGAAAATTCCGCACTTCAAATCGAAGTAAACTTTGACTGTCTTTTCAAAATGCTTAAGTCACACCAATCACTAACGCAATCAGTAGAATGCCCAGCTACTCAACTTTCACAATATTAATATTTCTCCGTAATCATGGGCGATAAGAAAGATAAAATACACATTTATATTTCATAATAATGTACTTCAAATGAAAACATTTGATCAACCTGCTCTTAGCTTTGCCTCCAGAGGAGTAATCCCCGCACTTGAAAACGGCTTTTACGCTGACAACTCGCTTTCAAAGGTTGCTATTACTTTCATTGAAACTTGAAAAACGTACATTATACAGCTTGGTAAACCATGCTGACATGTAAAACATTAATTATGACTTCAAGTTAAAGCATTACAGAGGAAATCATGTAAAGGGTAGATCTTTATAACAAAAGTCAAGTGTCGGCACCAAAATTTTGAGCGACAGTTTTTAAGTACACACAATACGTTTATTACCCATAAATTTTAAAAACAACTTAAGCATGAGTGTCAAATAGCATGAATTTTTATTATATATAATTTTCCTCTCATGACAAACTATGGCCCCATTTTTTTTTTCTTGAATATAATATAATGACATTAGTAGAGCTTCTTAATCTGTTTGTGTTTTTAATTTGCAGCACTTTTTATCCATGCTGTCAAGAGTTACAATCAACATTTCAATCAAGGGCCGAGGAAAATTTTCTTAACCCACTTAGCTATTATATTGCAAAGTTTTAAATAATTATCATGTGGGTGTACATCAAAAATGTCATATTGTATATTAGTGTATGTACTTCAGTATCATCCTTGCTGTAAACTGCGAGACCCACACCTTTTTATAACCATTTTCATTGTCATTTTTATGATTGTCACACTACTTTCAAAAAATAATTTATAATTCGCAAAATAAATTTATTGAATATCTATTTTTATTTTTCAGAATAAAATTCAACACTTCACATGTTAATCAAAATTTGGACCAGAGTAGAAAATGTATACAGAAATAACTTTGACAACATGGAAAAGTATATACTCATGTTGTAGGTTACTGCAATGTTCTTATAAACATAAGTGTTCCATTTATATTACATTAAATTTAATTCATACTAACACTTGATATTAAAATTTTTAAATCATTAAAGCGGTCAATTAGATTAAGTAATATAAATCCCTACTAAATTTTTTATTTTACCATACTAAACATTTCCATATTTTACTACAGTATGCACTGTGTGCCAAATTATTATTTAAAGGGTATTTATTTATGTAGATTATATTTTTTCCCCAAATTTCTTTTCATTCATGGCAGCAAGAAAAAAAAAATATATGCAACTTAACCCATAACATACTGATTATCATAAATGGACCGGTCCAGTCTACATATTTGGAACTGTCCAATATCAACATTAGGGATATCAAGATAAAAATCTGAAGTTAGGTCAGCCAACAGTATAGAGCCTGGTCAGACAGCACAGATGTGCAGGCTGGCCTGGCTCTATACTGGTGGCAATGGCTAACCACTTTCGGATCCAGCAGGTTAAGTGGTAAGTGGTAACAGAGCCATGACAACTTCATTCACACAATCTCAAATTATGCCGGAATTCAACAAACGGACTGCTCCAAAGTCAAAGCTAAATACACAAATTTAGTCGGGTAAAAGGATCAATTGTGACCTCATTCATTTCTAATCAATACTTGTAAGACATTTATAATCCTTTCATGTTTGTACAATCCACAATAAAAACATATACATTAATGTCCTATAAAAACTGGTCATAACCATTTTCAATGTCTTTATTTTGTCTGACATTATGTAATATTAGAAATTATTATGATAATTAGGTATCCACTAAAATCTGATAAAAAATTACTAATCTTTGTTATATATTGTAAATATATACCATAACAATTAAAGTGTACTTTCATTCAATTATAAAGATCAATATTTTTTCACAGGAAAAAAAACCATCTAATCTTGAAATGCAAGGCCCAAAAATTTAATAAGATCTTAGATTCAAATGAAGCTTTGTATTATTCTATTAATAGCACAGTCTGAATGTGTCTACAAAGCCAGACATAACTGGAATATTACACCTATATAAAGAAGTCGTCCAGTTTTGGATTCAGACTTGGGTCCTACATGGCATCTGAAGCCTACCTCCACCAGTAAAGCTGGAAAGTCATCATTATGACCTTTCCAGTGTTGGTGTGACATATTGAATTAACCCATTACTTCATATACACGCCTTTTAACGCCTTTTTCACACCCCCCCCCCCCATTTTGTTGTCTCAAATGATGAAACAATGCCTTATTTAGGCCCCAACCACTTGTTTTTGTTTGAGAAATGTTGTTAAAAAAAAGTGACCTCTTTTTCGGCGCGGCCCCCCAACCAAAAGACACATTAGGGGGTTGCCAGAAGGGGGATGTGCCCCCTTCTGTTTGGGGGGTTTGAAGGGGGGCGGAGTCCCCCTCATCGCCAAGAAAATTTTGGACTTGTGAGAGACTGTAAATGACCCCAGATTGATCATAAGGTAACGTGTAACCAATGCTGAAAAACATTTGACTCTATCTCAATCCATTGAGAAGTTGCAGCACTTTGAAATCAATTTTGATGGAAAAAATCAACGCAAAATAGTGATTTTTGGCAATTTTGAGATGTCCCC